TTTGGAGGTTTTTATTATTTTTTTGGGGGGGATGTATTGGGGTCACACCCAGCAATGCTTAGGGGTTCCTCCTCACTCTGTACTCAGGGATCACTTCTGGCAGGCTCAGGGGACCACGTGGGATGCTGGAAACCGAATCTGGTTGGCAAGTCAAGAGCCCTACCCACTGTACTATTTCTCTGGCTGCTTTTTGGGTTCTTAAGGTTCTTCAGGAACTCTTGTCCAATCTATCACTTTCCGGATATGGGAAGTGTGTGATCTCATGGGCCACCAAGCTGACACACTCTGCCCATGGTCCCTCATGCTCTCAGCAAATCCTGCCTGCCTGCTTCTGAAAAGCCAGACCTGGGAACTGAGGCAAAGAATAGTCCTGGCTCCTGTCCTCAGGGGGTTGCAGATACCCATGTACATGTGTGCACCCACGCGTATAGGTGCACGTGCTCATGCTCACACACACACACACACACACACACACACACACGCACGCACGCACGCACTCATAACACTTGCACCTCAAGTGGCAGGACAGCACTGGTATCTACATTTGCTGTGCTGGGAAGTTGGGGTGCTTTGAGAGAGGGTCACTGGGATGCTCATCAGAGAAGGGTGCCCTGAGAAGATCCAGTTACAGGCAAACCCAGAGGCTGCAAAACGCACAGGGAAATGCATGGGGCTGGAGAGAAAGTACTGTGAGTAAGGTGCTTGCCTTACACATTCCCAAGTTCACTTGTCAGCTGTCTGTGGTCTTCTGAGCATTGCCAGGTGTGGCCCCCAACACAGAACAAGGGTTATTCCTGGATTATGCACTCCTGAAGGTGCTCGGGGGACCATATGGGATGCTGGGAATCAAACCCAGGTCTGTTGCGTACATAGCAAATGCCCTACCCATTGTGCTATCGCTCCAGCCCCTGAAGTCTCTCTCCCTTGTAGAGCCAGAAAGAAAACCCATATAAAGCCAGTGGTGCAAAAGAGCCTTGAAACCATGGCCGAATGGCGTGCTTAAATGTACTCCAGTGGACGGCGGGAGAACAAGACATCTAACACGCATCTCCAAGCTGCTCACGGCGTGCATTTAATGCAGGGATTCAGCTGCATCCTGTGTCCGTGGTACCAGAATTCCTTCTGAGTTCTCCCATCTGCTGTTTGGGGCAAACTCTTTCCCGAGAGCTGCCATTCCTGCGGACTGGAGCTCTGAGCTGTAACTTAAACGTCTGTGCTTTCTCAGTTAAGGCAGTTGGTGGCGAGCTCTGGGCCCTCTCCGGGTCATTGGCCTGCCGGTCTGAAGGAGTTTTGTTCTGGGAACTGTAACCTCTCTTTAGCCCGGAGTCTTCTCTTCCTCTTGAGATCATTCCCTCGTGTCAGACGCCTTCTCCACTGTGGTATTTGCGTTGCATATTTATACACTGAAGCAGCCAATTACTCGGCGCAACCCCAACATGTTTTGTGTTTATTCTGCCGCTTAAATACTCCGAGTGCGTTTTAATCTGTTGACTGCTGGCTCATTCAGCACGGAGTTTAGTCGCATGGAGAGGCACGCTAGTGGGGTTGGAGGGTTTTGTTTGGGAGTCTCCCCAGCAGTGCTCGACCCCTCCCCACCCACCTCCCGCCCCCCTGGCGCTGTCCTCATTGGTATTCAAAGCCCCGCCTGTGCAGTCCTGCTACATCAGTGATGCAAAGGAGGCAGCAGGAAGAGGTTTAAAGTGCTGCTGAGGACTTTGGAGGACGTGATACTTTCTGTAAGGGTAAAAGGTGGAAAGGAGACCCCATCTGTTGCCTGCTTTACCGAGCTGGGTCTGTGCGTGGGGTGCTGTGGGTGGGGCTCTGGATGGGAGGCACAGGGCGTCTGCAGAAACCCCGGGATTGCTGAGGTGCTCACCCTGCCCGTTAAAGTCCCTGAGCATCCCTGCCCAGCCCGCTAGTGGCTTTTCCAACTTCCCAGGGTAGGCAGTGAGTGTGCAGGCCCTCAGTTAGAGTAATCCGGTGGGCAGAATACCTAATGACGCGTGTGAACAGGGGAAGCCCCCGCCTGTCACCCCTGCAGGCGCTCCGCCTGTGCTCCCCCTAAAGATAGATTCCTTCTGGATTCCCGGGTCCCCATTACCGTCCTATCCATTATCCCCTGCGAGTGCCCGGTAATGGGTGAAATTTAGTCACATGCTGGGGAGCTGTGGGGGAGGGGGGGCGCAGATCTTGTCTGATATTTGCACAAGGTGGCCGGGAGCCACCAGGATGATCTTTTGTAGTGCAGCTCCCTGGGCCAGGCTCTGCATGAGCTCTGATTTATTTTTCAAACAAGCCTGCTCTCCCTGGCTTGCTTTTTACTGGTCTCCCGGCAGCCTGTTTATTGTTACAGATGTTGCTTTTCAGTGAAGTCATGGGGGCCCCCCTTTACTTGTGGAGGCAGCCTGTATTCTGGCGGGGCTGCAGGGAGCAGAAGGCGTCCAAATAGGAGACTGAACATCCATTTAAATAAAAATAAAAAGAATTTAACCTCAGCTGTATCAGCCGTATTTAAAATTTTAGAATTCCTGGAATGCGCAGCCACATTCACGGCCAGTGACGTCTCAAACTCTACGCCACTGAGGTACCAAGACAAGGACTTCAGGGCGGCAGTGTGAGATACAACAGTCTTCACACACTTTCCTCTAAGGAAACTTCTCGGATCATTTTTAGAGGATTATTCATAACAAGCACGACAAAATAAATAATTTAGGTCCTGCTTTGGGGACAGGCTTGGGGGATGGGGGTGTGTGGAATGAGAGAGAGAGCGCATTCACCCGCTTACCAGCCCTGGGCTCAGTAGAGTGGGCCTGCATAGGACCACCCATAGCATGTCTATGCCTGATTCTTTGTCTGCAATTGGGGGATACTTTTTTTAATTGAATCACCATGAGATACAGTTACAAGCTTTCATGTTTGAGTTACAATCATACAGTGATCAAACACCCGTCCCTCCAGTGCACATTCTCCACCACCAATGTCCCCAGTATACTCCCGCTTTCCAACCCTCCCCCTGCCTCTATGACAATTTCCCCCATACTCTCTGTCTAGGCTGGATTGATAGCACAGCAGGTAGGGCGTTAGCCTTGTACACAGCCGACCCGGGTTCGATTCCTCTGTCCCACTCAGAGAGCCCCGCAAGCTACTGAGAGTATCCCGCCCGCACAGCAGAGCCTGGCAAGCTCCCCGTGGCGTATTTGATATGCCAAAAACAGCAACAAGTCTCATAATGGAGGCATTCTGGTGCTTGCTCGAGCAAATCAATGAAGAGCGGGAGGACAGTGCTATTCTCTCTCTACTTTTGGGCATTATGGTTTGCAATACAGATACTGAGAGGTTATCTTGTTTGGTCCTTTATCTACTTAGAGCACACATCACACTAAGACAGTGGTAGTTCGAGGAGTCATTCGGGTTGGGAGATGTGTGATAGGAACTTTTCACTCCAGGGATTTGGGAGGCTAAACGGCAGGGGGACCAGCTGCTGAAGACGTGGGCACTGGAGATGAACAGGGAGGTTTCTGTCCCTATCAAACTTGCCGCTGACTTTTGCCAGGAAGTTTTCTGTTGCCCCGCGTTCCCATAGGGCAGCCCTCTGCCTCCACACTGTCATGGAGCGCTGGACAGCGTCGGCAGAGACCTTGGACCTGCAGAATTAGAGTCCTTCCCCCTGGTCCTTTGCAGACCCCTTGCCAGGCTTTAGGAGGTTCCTGTGGTCATTGCAGTGCTCAGGGCTACTCCTGGCTCTGTGCTCAGGGATTAATCCTGGCAGTGCTCGGAAGATCATATGGCATGCTATGGGTGGATGCCGGGTCTGCTGCGTGCAAGGCCAGCACCCTCTGGTCCATGCTCTCGAGCCGGTGGTGTTTCGGCTTTAAGTGGGTGCCAGTCAAATGCTCACCGACTCCACGCTGAATTGCCTTCTCCTTCCGGAGCTCTGAACAGCTCCTGGCAAGGCCCCCAAGACTTGACTCCCGGCTTCTTGTGATGCCGCAGGTAATGTCTGAGGGGTGTGAGAGAGAGAACCGAGGGCAGCAGGCAGAGAAGGGGAGGTACCAAACAAGGCCCAAAGAACCCAGGTCAGACTCGAACCCCAGCCTGTCCACCGTTAACTGTTGAGGTTGCTCTGGGCCTCCTTCCCATCCAAAGTAGGTAGTCCCTTTGTCCAAGGGGTGTTTGGTGGGTTCGATGAGGTTCCCTGAGAGAAAGCCTCTATTCCTGGCTCACACATCATGCCTCGGGAGCCCAGTGAAGGTGGTTCCAGTGTCAGCTGGTCACCTTCTGCCATGGCCGTGCTCAAGGCTTCAGCTTTTGTCTGGTCCTCGACTTGAGAAAGGATCTGAATCAGGCAGGTATCGCTAGCCCAGAAGGGTCCAGCCAGGTCAAGGACGGTGAGAAGTAGTGTGAAATAGGGTAGAACACTTGACAGCAACAGAGTGACAAATATCAGCTTTGCCAAACTGAAATGGCCATTCGGATATTTGTGCCTGGGACCTTTTTTCTTCCTTCCTTCCTTCCTTCCTTCCTTCCTTCCTTCCTTCCTTCCTTCCTTCCTTTCCTCCCTCCCTCCCCCTCTTCCTTCCTCTTCTCCCTTTCTTTCTCCCCTTCCCTTCCCTTCCCTTCCCTTCCCTTCCCTTCCCTTCCCTTCCCTTCCCTTCCCTTCCCTTTCTCCCCTCCCCTCCCCTCCCCTCCCCTTCCCTTCCCTTCACTTACCTTCCCTTCCCTTTCCTTCTTTCTTCCTTTTGGCCTTCCTTTCTCCCCTCCTTTCTTTTTCTTCTCCTAGGGCCTTTTGTTTTCTCTCTCCTTTTGTTCATTCTTTCTTTCTTCCTTTTTTTTCTTTCATTTTTCCTTCTCTCAGGACCGTTTTTTAAGGGATAGGGATATGTATAGGGGACCATCTGCAATGTCGGGGGGTTTCTCCCTCTTCCTCAAGGCTTACGCCAGCCAGGCCTGTGAGTACCCATGCAGTTAACCACTGCTGACGTTTCTTTCTCCTCCTCCAGTTCTGGCCGACAACCTGAAGTCCAACCCTGGGATTAAGTGGCAGTATTTCAGCTCAGAAGAAGGCATCTTCACTGTTTTCCCAGCACACAAGTTCCGGTGTAAGGGCAGCTATGAACACCGCAGCAGGTATGGGACTGCCCCATTTTCATCCCCGTGTCCTTCTGAGTAGGAACCAAGCCACATGCCTGTTCTCCTTCTTCACTCTGATACCTTGTTTCTTTTTTAAAAAAAATTTTTTAATTGAATTACCTTGAATTACAGAGTTGCAAAGTTACTCAAGATTGAGTTTCAGGAATACTGTGTTCAACACCAGTTCCTTCATCAGTGTCCACTTCCCTTCACCACTTCAACAACGCTCTCAGTTTCCCTCCCGGCCTGCCTCTATGGCAAGCACTATTTTCTTTTTCTTTTTCCTTTGATTTTTGCTCCAGAGTGACCACTTCCCTCTCTGATTGTTGTAGTGGTCCCACCCCTGACCTATCCCCTGTCTGCTTCTCCCCTCCTTCCAGTGACAAGCTTTCTACTAAGGACCAGTATTCCTGCTCTTCACTTCTGTGATATTAGCTATTCCCCTATTATGTTCCCATAATATGATTGAGATCATTTTGGGTCTGACTCATGTTGCTCAGCATGACACTTTCCAGATCTATCCATGTACCAGCAATTTGCAGGCTTCATCTTTTTTATGGCTGTGTAGTATTCCACTATGTAAATGTACCAGATCTTCTTTATCCAGTCATCTGTTCTTGGGCACTCCCATTATTTCTGGGGCTTTTTCTGGCTGTGGAAGTATTTCACCATGCCCATGAGTGAATATAGAAAGGGAGGGAACAACAAGGAACAAATCTCAGAGCTTTTCCCGAATGGTTGAACATACACCAAATAAGGTGGAGTCTTACTGGGAAAATTAAACGGTTCTGAGCACCCTGAAGCAAGCCTCAGAGTTGAGCTTGTGATGATCAGCTTTGCTTTTTGGGTAAAGAGACTTGACTTCCCTTAAAAGTGACACGCCAGTTCTCAGGGATTGTCCCTTGTAAAGTTAGTTCTCCAGAAAACTTGGGTGAAGGTTATGAGTCTGCTTTTCTCAGGAAAATGATCGTAGCTCAGAGCCAGAAGGGCAGTAATGACGTGACTTGTATGACACAAGACTCAACGGTCCACAGAACCCCTTGGGCCTGCGTGCTCTGTCCTGGCTTCTCAGACTCTCTTTTGCAGCGTTAGTCGTGTTGTGGTTGGTTTCTGCTGGGGAGTGGGAAGGTGTTTGTTGTTTGAGGGGATTGGAGCCACATCCAGCAGGGCCTGAGGATTACCTTAGGCTCTGCTCGGAGGGGCCACGCAGTGCCAGGGATTGAGCTCAGGTCAGCCACATGCACGGTAAAAACCATCACCGCTGTCTTCACTCTCGGGCCCAGCAGTGTCAGATCCTGAGTGTGGTGACTACCAGAGCTAATGCAAGATGCTTGGGCTTTGTTTGTTTTGTTTTGGGGACCACATCCAGTGATGCTCAGGGGTCACTCCTGGCTCTGCACTCAGGAATCACTTCTGGTGATGCTCCGGGAACCATATGGGATGCTGGGGATCCAACCCAGCTCATGCAAGGCAAGCATCCTACCTGCTGTACTATCGCTCTGGTCCAGACTGCCCATTAATGCCACAGGGGGTAGAAGAGGGTAGGGATGGGAAATCCACATTAACCCAGTGCTTTATTTTTTAAAAAATTTATTTATTGAATCACTGTGAGAACAGTTACAAAGCTTTCAGGTTTAAGTCTCAGTCATACAGTGATCAAACACCCATCCCTTCACCACTGCATATTTTCCACCACCAAAAATCCCGATATACCCCCCCTATGCCACGCCTCCCCAGGCCTGTGAGGCAAATGATTTCCACTTAACTCTCTCTCTACTTTGATTACATTCATTATTTCAACAAAAGAGACACCATTGTTATTTGGAATTTTTCCCCCAACAATCAAACCTGCTGAAAAGGCATTGTGAAATAATTTGTTTTCTATACCTGGTTATGAAGTCCATATGATGTCACGTGGTAGTAGCCACGCGAGTTTGGATTTCTGATATTTTACTGATTAAGTCTGGAGGGATTTCTGCCAAAAGCTGAATAGTTCCAGGATTGGTTTGTGCGCCTCTGGGTCCATGACCGTGCTAGAGAGCCGCTTGTGGGGGGCAACTTGTCGTCTCAGCAGGGCAAGAAGGACGTGGTGGTTCCGCCCCCCATCCCATAAGGCCACAGTTGCCCCATCACCACCAGCTCATGCCTGGCTGTCCAATAAGGTCTGAGGCAGCGACCACCGTTCCACTGGGGGGGGGGGGGCGGGGGGCAGGGACAGGGTAATGGCAGAAGAGATTGAATGGTTCCTCAGCTCCTGCAAGGGGCCCACCTTTGAGCTTGCAACTTGAATGCCTCTGAGAATGCATCCCTGCCCCCCCACCCCCACCCCACTTTGTTACAGTTTCCTCGAAGAAACTGTGAGATAAAACCAATGTGAACATATTCTGCTTTTTATTTATGTGAGTTAGAAAGAAGGAGGTGTGTCCACTTTTTGTTGGTTGGTTTTTGTTTTAAGGGGATTCAGCCAAGGTGCTCAAAGGCTGATCGTAACTCTGTAGTCAGGTGTGACCCCTGGCCGTATTCAGGAGACTGACCCTATGTGTGGCCGGGGATTGAACCCAAGGTCAGCTATGTGCCGGTCTTATACCCTAATGACCCCTCTGCCCTCTCTCCAAACTCAGATGTGTCCTTTTAAATATCCTCTCACCTAGACATCCTCCATGGAATGAGCTAGAAGTCTAGGGCTTGACCACGGGTGTTGGGGTGACCAGTTCCGGGTCTGTCCTGTCCCCTCTTTCATTCCTGCGGCCACCTCTCTCCTGATTAACTTCCTTAGCTCGTGTCCATCTGCCTCCTGGCCCTGGCGCGGGAAAAGACAGTGGCCTTATCCTGCGAGTGCCGGCCTTTTGGCTCGAGCACAATGAGGGCGAACTTGGCCACGGTTTGGCGTTTTGCTGGTTCTCTGCCGACATTTCTTCATTGGTGCCCAGGCATTTTGTGACTCCGCTGGCATCTAGCAGTTCTCAGAAAGCTTAAGTAGTTTTGGGGTGCTAATAAAAAGAGAGCGTTCTCTTGGGGCTGATTTGCTTTCTTCAGCTCCCTCTGATTTGTTCCAGCTTTAAAAACCCATCAATAGAGGGACCTCATTAAGTCTCTTCCCACAGACCTTGTCACACTGCACACGAGCAGGGGGAGGGGGGAGGGCATTGCTTCTCCTCCCGACCTCCTCCCCCCCAGCACACACACACACACACACACACACGCACACACACACACACACACTCTACACACAACCCCCTTTCCTTCTTGTTGGCAAAACAAAACCCTGGCATTGAAGAGTGGCCGTCGCAGGCTCGGTCGGACGCATATGATGGCGTGGATTGAAATGCCCAAATAAGGGGCTCTGCAACAGTTTGGGGGGATTGGGGGAGGGCAGGGCTGGGGCCAACCTGCTTTAATTGCTTGGGCACAGACAGGGAAGGGCCCTCTGAGCCCAGGAACACAGCCGGCCGCTGGGGAGGGACAGGGAGGCTATTCCAAGCAGGCAGGGCCCGGCTTCTCTGGCACTTGGGCGACCGGGGTTCAATCCCTGGTACCCCATATGAGCCCCACCAGGAGGGATCCCTAAATGAAGAGACCCAGGAGCAAGCCCTGAGCACGGCCCGGTGCCCAGACCCCCCCTCCCTGGGCCATCCACGCACGGCACCCAGCTCACGGGGCTCGGGCACCTGTGCAGGTGGATGAGCCCCAGGTCTGTGTCCTCTAGAGGAACCGTGGGGGCGGGGGGGGGGCGTTGGAGCAGCCCACCTCCCACTCTGGCTGTGCCTGAGACTCATTCCCGGAGCTCGGGGCCTGCAGGACCTCCCTGCTGAGGCTCTCGCCGTGCTCGCCCTCCCACTAGACCCATCTACGTCTCCACCGTCCGGCCCCAGTCCAAGCACATTGTCGTCATCCTGGACCACGGAGCTGCCGTCACCGACACCCAGCTGCAGATCGCCAAGGACGCCGCCCAGGTCATCCTCAGTGCCATCGACGAGCATGATAAGGTGAGCAGCACTTGCCCCTCTGGTGCCTCTGAGTGGCGACACGGCGCTCACGAAACCATTTTCAGGGCATCTTTAAAATGGCTTTGGGAGGCCCAAAGGATAATACGGTATCCTAGCATGTGGCCGAACCGGATTCGATTCCCGGCATGCTGTATGATTCCCCGAGCACCACCAGGAGTGACCCCTGAGCATCTCTGGGTGTGCTCACCCCCACCCCCCCAAAAAAAATAATTAAAAGTAATGGCTTTGGGAGAAGAGAGGTGGCTCTGTTTTTTGGGGGGTTTTGTTTGTTTGTTTGTTTTTTAAATGATCAAGGAAGCAGCAGGCAACTTTTGTCTCAAATCTCTTTTCAAACCATCCCCGCCAAGCCAAGACTCAGTCCCCTCTCCTGAGTTCACCTGTTTAGGCTTTGGGTTCGAGGAGACTTTGCATATTGGAGGTTCACTGGAAGTTAACCGGAAGGCAAGGGGGATCCATTTATTTATTTATTTATTTATTTATTTATTGGATTTTTGGGTCACACCTGGAGATGCACACATGCACTCAGGAATTACTCCTGGCAGTGCTGAGGGGACTATATGGGATGCTGGGAATTGAACCCGGGTCAGCCTCGTGCAAGGCAAATGCCCCCCCCCCCCCCCACTGTGCTATTGCTTCGGCCTCAAGGGGGCGCAACTTAGGGCCTGCATGCAAAGATCAGCTGCTCTACTGACTGCTGAAAGGTTAAGGCTAGGCAGGTGGGTTCATGGCTGGTGATCACCTATTGCCAGGGGCAGGGAGGACCATGGATCATTTTGTACTTTTCCAAACACAAAGATTTTACCAACGATCCAATTCCTTAAAACCAAGTACTTTATTTGCTAATTTTATGCACTGCCAATTTCTCTGGGAACAAAAAAACAAATTCTAGGGTTCTTTTTCCTTGCCAATCCTTTAACTGATCGTTTTCATACTCGGTAAGAGATTATGCCTCAAGGCATTTACTCTTCTTTATTATTTATTTTGTCCTTTTGGGTCATACCTAGCGATGCTCAGGGTTACTCCTGGTTCTGCACTCAGGGATTACTCCTGGCGGTGCTCGGAGAACCATATGGGATGCTGGGGATCGAACCCAGGTCGACCACGTGCAAGGCTATATGCCCGCCCCACTGTACTATTGCTCTAGCCCTGGGATGTTTACTTTGACTCACATAAATTGTTCTGTAGGTCTTTATTTTGGGGGACTCTTCCAGAATATCATATATATATATACTTTCGGGTGGGGTGGACAAGAACATACCTCGCAGTGCTCAGAGGACCGGGCAGTGCCTGGGATCAAACTAGGGGCCCTTGCATGTAGAGAATGCGCAGGAGTCGTCTCCTTGGTCCCCAGCTCCGTTTCGACCTTGCACAGTAACCAGCTTCCTTTTCCGGCCCTGCAGATCTCTGTGTTGGCGGTGGCAGATGCCGTGCGGACTTGTTCCCTAGACCAGTGCTACAAAACGTTCCTGTCTCCTGCCACCAGCGAGACCAAGAGGAAGATGTCCGCCTTCGTGAGCAGCGTCAAGTCCCTGGACAGCCCAACCCAGCACGCCGTGGGCTTCCACAAGGCCTTCCAGCTCCTCCGCAGCACCACCAACAGCACCAGGTTCCAAGCGAGTAAGCACCCGGCTCGGGGTGGCCACTAGGGTAGATTATTAATGCCCATGCATATCGGGGGGGCCACTGGTGTAGATTGTCAGTGCTCCCGTGCGGATCCGGTTGGCAACTGGGGCAGATTGTCAATGCCCATGCAAATCCAGATGGCCACTAAGGTAGATTGCCTACATTCCTGTGCAGGTCTGGATGGCCACTTGGGTAGATTGTCAGCATGCCCATGCAGATCTGGGTGACCGTTGGGTATATTACCAATGCTCCCATGCAGATGTCCAGAGGAACCCTTAAACTTGGGGTGACCCCGTCCTGAGTTGCCTTCACAGACATCTCATGCACTCTCTTCCCAGGTTCTCGTGTCTTTTCCAGCCAGACAGTTTCTTGGTCTCTAGGATTTCTTCTTCCTGTCCGTTTAGAGAGAACAGAGGCCCTCTGATTCCCCGGGGAGGAGGAATGCTAATTGTCAGCCTGGCCCAGATCCTCCCGTCTGCCTTCCACTCAGCTGTCACTTAGATGGGCATGGTCCTTCACATGCTACAAAGACACCCGGATTTAATTTTCATGTTTTACAGAAAAATCTGGACTTAGCATGCATGTGAAAGGAAAGGAGATTTGAAATAGGACACTTGCTTGGAAACCATTGAAAGGAAACTGTCATTTTTTTTACCCCCTTTACATTTAAAAAAAAATTATGTGGGGGGAGGGGAGGGTGTTCTGTTTTGCTTATTAAATGAACAGAGACTGTTTGCAAGCACCTCGGCGCTTTGATCTCAGTGCTGGGACAGACAGCATTGATGCATGCAGAGGTTGGGTCCAGTACCTACTGGGTTCTGGAAAGACGGAAGTTGCTGCCACTTTACTTGTGATGGTATATGGTTGTTGGGGAACTGTTTTCCCCCAGTGTGCCCAGATATGCTGCACACCGGGTCCAGCAGACGTGGGGTGAAGGACGACAGGCACGTGGAGAAACACTCTCTGGGAGCAGCTGATGGCTATTCACTTTATTGCCAAATACACACATATTTTATAGAGGGTCTGGGCTTACAAGAAGGTCCAATCACAGAAAGGTTACCATGATGGGCCTATCACCTTTCCAACTCTGCTTTGCCCCGGTCCAATCCCAATCAAGGCTAGTTGCTGCAGTTAGGATGACTTGCTAAGCATATGTGACAGTTTCTGTGTCTTGGGCTCCTGTGACTAGGAGATTGAATGAGGCTCAAGGCCGAACACCTGGTGCTGGCTGACACCCTGTTCATGCCAACTCTGCCCACATACTCCCTCTTACGAGGCTTTGCTCCTGGACCGCTTTGCAAGGTCGGGTTTTATCTGCTCCATATATGGTGAATGAAACGACCTCAAATTTAGCAGCAGCTGGCGAAGGCTTCCCTGCATCTTTAGCGCCAGTGCTGTGTAGCTCGGCAAAGCCTGGCAAGCTCCCCGTGATTTATTCAATATGCCAAACACAGAAACAACAAGTCTCACGATGGAGACGTTACTGGGCCCCTCGAGCAAATCGATGAACACCGGGAGGACTGTGACTGTGACTGCTGTGTAGCTCAGCTCTCGGTCTCTCTCATACCAGGGCTTGCAACCCCAGTGGCAGGTCCGTGGGAGCTTTTGCACCCAAAGCCCTCATACAGGCACCTGGAATTCATCTTCTCGCAAATTCGCCTTCTCGAAGCTTCCTCCTTCATAGCCCCGGAAGCTCTTACAGGACTTCAGGAAAGGCTTGTCTGGTCTAGGCAGACCTCCCTCCTCCTTGCCCAGTACAATCAAGCGACTCTGGTGATTGGCTTATTAGAAGTCTGAATGGGACCTACAGATCTCTTAGTGCTGGCCTTGGGGTAGCCTTCATAGAGCCAGCCCACCCCCACTGGGTTGCATGCTATGGGGTTAAAAAACGTTCCTGGCAGTGCCCAGACTTCAGAGGAGAGGTTCCTACAGGACTCAGGGGTCTTTGGAATTTTGCCCACCAGCTTAGCAAGGACCAGCATCACAAAGTAGCTGAGTGGCAGGTGGCTTCGGAGTTAGGCCCATGGACTGGGCTCATCCTCCGAATAACCCAGATGGTCCAGTTAGTGCATCCATGCCATGTCTCTGATGCCAGTCCACCTGGCAGCTTGCCCAGTAGAGATGTTCTTCCTACTTGATTGCTTGTCTTGGAAGTCACTCTTGGCAGTGCTCAGGGGACCACATATATGTGGTACCAGGGATTGAATTGGGGTCATTATATGCCAGGCAAGCATCTTAACCCCTTATTAATTCCCTTTACCAGATTTAAAAAAAAAAAAGGCTTTGGGGCCACACTTGGCAATGCTTAGCAGTTATTCTTGGCTCTGCATTCAGGAACCACGCTCAGTGGCTTGTTTATTTATTTATTTATTCAAATATTCAAATAATAGGGACAAGGCAGTAGTACAGTGAGTAGAGGACTTCCCCTGGACACAGCCCACCCTACTTGATCCCTGGCCACTGCCCAGAGTAAGACCTGAGCACACAGCTCCCACAGGGAAATGGACCATCAAGAGAGAAATACGAGACATAACCAGCCATCACCAGAGTCAGGCGCACTGCAGGCAGGGACTAGGGTATTGGTGCCACAGCTGTGAGATCATGCATGCTGGATACACCAAATCTCCTGTTTTACAAGAAACCAAAGAGCTGTATTCCCATGCAAAAGCTCTTGATTTTCAAAGATTGACTTGATTTTTTTGTCTATGGTTTTTTTGTTTTGTTTTGTTTTGGGCTCCAGCTGGTAATGCTCCAAGCTTCTTCCTGGGTCTGTTCTCAGGAACAACTTCTGATGGGGCTCGAGGGATCCTGTGAGGTTCTGGGAATTGAACGTGGGTTGGCCACATGCGAGACAAACGCCCTTACCTGCTGTCCTGTCTCTCCAGCCCCAACTTTTCCAACTTTAAGCCAAGCTGTCAAGCCCTCATTAGAGAGGCTGCTGACTGGACACATTTTCTACTGGGTTTGTTGTTTCTCCGAGTGGAGGAACAACACAGAAGCTTAAGAAGGAGAATGACTGGCACAGCCCCAGAACCATGCTGAGGCCACCATCACTTAATGATTCAGAAGAGGTTTTCTTTTTTTTAGACCAGGTCAAGCACAGTGAAGTTTCACTCAAGCATCTTTATCTTGGAGCTTCTCCTGGCAGGTGTGAGGAAAAGGACAACACTGGGTCACCTCACGAAGTGCTTCAGGAACCCAATTGTGTCCTCTCTTCAGAAAAGGGCTAAGGTGTCAATCTGGCAGGGGTCAAGTATGTGGATCTGGGCTGTCAGCCAACATAGTATCAGATTCCTACTCTGGAATTTTAATTTTTTTTTAATTTTTTTAAATACAATTTTAAAAAATATTTTTAAACATTTTTGAAAATTATTTTTATTGTATATCTGTATGTATCTTTTAATACTCTGGGATTTTTCTGACCTTGTGAACTTGTGTCGATTCTTTGCTCTCTCCAGGTCTGGGTTCTTGGTCTGCAAGCAGGGCCAATAATAACTTGCAGGATTCCATCAAGATTAAGTGAGGTCCATTTAATATTCCACTTCCTGCAAGAGCTTCAGCTCTGAGCAGATCTCCCAGGGGTCCTCAGTTGACCCCTGAGCTTTGGCTGCTGTGTAGGGAGGGTCTGTGGACTTGTCCCAGGAGCTTGCCTCTTTGCTTCATGCCTCATTGATTTAGGTCATTTAGTTGCTGTCCATTCTAAGCCAACTTTAAGCCTGGCATCCAGCCCTCTTTAGAGAGGCTGCTGATGGGACACATTTTCTTCTGGGTTTGTTGTTTCTCCAAGTGGAGGCACACAGAAGCTTAAGAAGCAGAATGCTTTGGCACCCAATTGACTAGGGTTCGACCCCCGCACCCTGTATTGTCCCTTGAGCTCACCAGGATTGATGCCTGACTGCAAAGCCCTGAGCATGGCCGGGTAGGGAACCCATGTGTTCTGAATGCTTATTGCTTTGTCTTCTTTGCCTTCCACTGGCCGGTCAGCACAGTGGAGATTTAATTCCCCACTCTGACTCACAGAGCTCTTTCTGGCTCCCGCGGTAGACCTAGAACTGATACCATCTATGAATCTGGGTGCTTTGATTTGTACAGGGGGGTGTTGATTTGGTGGTTTTATACCAAAGGGAGTAGAGATAGGCAAAAGACAGGGTCTAATTGCATAGGCAAAGACTAAATTTGACAGTGACCCCAAGACCATTGACCCTTTTGATACTGACCCCAGGACATGTTGAAGACTTAAGGATTTGTCAAATCAGAGAATAATTGTCTATTCTTACAAGAAAACGCTCTGGCTTTGCTCTACCCGGGAGTGTCCCTGGGATAACTCATCTTTAACACTGAGTCTTTAAGTTCCTCTTACTAGGTATCTAGAAAAGAGGATATCCTAATAAGTCTGTCTGTTTGTTTGTTTGTTGGGTCACACCTGGTGATGGGCAGGGATTGAGTCCTGACTCTGCACTCAGGAATTAGTCCTGGCAGTGCTTGGGGAAACCATATGGGATGCCTGGGATCGAACCTAGGTCGGCTGTGTGCAAGACAAACATTCTACCTGCTGTACTATCACTCCAGCCCCAACTCTTATCTTTTTAATTCAAAGACCGGGAAGCTCACTCAGGGGCTCAGGTGCAATCCTGGCATATGCATGGCACTGAGTTGTAGCCGTGGTGACCCTCAGCACCACTGGGCTTCAACCCCAGAACCGTCAGTTCTACATTGTGGGGCCTAATATCACTAGGAGTAGCCCCCAGGCTTCAGAGCACCATTGGGACACCCCAAATAAATGAGTTAATTCAGTAAGACAAAATTTGGCATGTCTGATATAGACGAATTAAAAAATGACTTCATTTTTCTTGAGGGTAGTGCGGGAATGGGGTGAGGCTTATCAGAGGCAGGAGTTGACAGACAGGGCTTGTGTCCATCTGTCCATCTGTAGGCGTGTGAGCCGCCGGAGGAGTCTGTACACAGTGAGCCTCTCACTTCCCAAATATGGGTGTTTTTCCTTTCCAGTTTTCATTAAGACACATACAGTGTTCCAACATCATAGCTACCATCTGTGTCAGCGTCCCTCCACCAGTGTCTCAAGTCCCCTCCTGGCCACCTCCCACCCCACCCCTCGGCACAGGCAGTTCTGTTGGCCAACTTGCAGGGTCTTGGCCATCCATTGCCCCCTTACTGAGTTTCTTTCTGCCCCACCTAGGGATCCTGTGGTGTCTGTCCCTCTCTCCCAACTCGCTTCACTTAGCACGAAATCCTTTAGTTCTATCCATGTAGTGGCGAATGGCAGAGTTTCATTTTTCCTTACATCTCAGTAGTATTCCATTGTGTGTTGGATCCCAGTTTCTCTAGCCACTCTCTGTTCTTGGCCACTTGGGTTGTTTCCAGAGCTTGGCTGGGTGACTAGTACTGCCGTGAGCAGAGAAGCACAAAGGCCTTTTCAAAGTTCAGTCTGGGGGGCCTTGGGGTAGATGCCAAAGAGTGGAATGGCCTTGTCATGTGAAAAGTCAAGTCTTAATTTTTCAAGACGTTTCTGGACTATTTTCCTCAGAGTTTGACCCAGTCACCATCCTCACCAGCAATGGGTGAGGGTTCCTTCTTCCCACCTCCCTGCCAAGTCTACATGTTTCTAATCTTTTGTTTTAGATGATCTCTTTCACTTTATTCAAGGGCTAAATATCACTCACTTTAACCCTTTTTTAAAAAAAAGTTTTGTTTTTTGGGGTCACACCCAGCAATACTCAGGAGCTACTCCTAGCTCTGCACTCAGAATTACTCCTAGTGGTACTTGGGGGACCATGTGGGATGCCGGAGATTGAACCCAGGTCAGCCGCATGCAAGGCAAACACCCTCCCCACTGGACTATCACTCAGGCCCCTCTGACTTTAACCCTTGAGTGATCTTCCCAGCCCTTGAATTTAGATTCGATGGCCCAGGGACCCTATGGGGTGCTGGAGGTTGAATCCAGACTGGCCATCTACAAGGCAAGCGCTCTAGCTGCCATTCCGCCTCCCTGGACTCCAGGGAGGACTCCTTCACTTTTTAATTAACCAGGTGTTTCCCTCAGCAGGGATAGGGAGTAGATGCTGTTATTCTCCCCATTTTAGAGCCAAAGAACTGAGGCATGGAGGGGTCAGGAATGTGATGCTTTACGACGCCCACAGCTTGGAGGCCGGGGAAGTGGATTTTTCCCACGGCCTGCCTGGCCCCACGTCTTCCTGCTCTTCTGTAGTTTCAAAGCCAAGGTGTATCTCTCTGGGCTTGGGGAGACAGTACAGCGGGTTAAGTCTTGTACAAGGCCAATGCTGGTTTGATCCCTGGCCTCACCTCTGGTGCTCCAAACCCCACCAGAAGTGAATCCTGAGCACAGAGCCAGGAGTAAGCCTGGAGGATCACTTAGTGTGCACTCCATGCAACCCCACCCCATGTATCTGGCACGACCTTCCATAGGAGTTTAAAATCTCCCTTCCTTGGGGCTGGAGCGATAGTACAGCGGGTAGGGCGTTTGCCTTGCACGCAGCCAACCCAGGTTCGATTCCCAGCATCCCATATGGTCCCCTGAGCACCACCAGGAGTAACTCCCGAGTGCAGAGCCAGGAGTAATAACCCCTGTGCATTGCCAGGTGTGAACCCCCCCCCAAAAAAAAGGCCAAAAAAAATCTCCCTTCCTTTCAGATTGCCTGGAAAAGTCACCATTTTATTGATGCCTCCGTGCCCCCAAATGTGTATTCTTGGCAAAGACCCCAGCCTGAGGGTCCGTGCAGTTCTGAGTGCCAGAATTCCTCTCGCAGGAGAGATTTCCCTCTGAGGTGGCTGCCTGGGCCCCTTTTCTGTCATTGGGAAATCTCCCAGTGGGGACCCGGGGCAGGTGGTGGAGGAGCAGAGTGAGGCACCCAGGGATGAGGGGAGATGAAAGGAGCGACATCAGAAGGGAGGGAAGGCACTGAGGGGCCTGGCGGCAGGCGGGGAAGTGGGAATGGCCCACGCTGCCACCCACCCTTTGTGTGCTTCTGTTTAGATACAGACATGGTCATCATTTACCTGTCCGCCGGCATCACATCAAAGGACTCTTCGGAAGAAGATAAAAAGGCGACACTGCGTGTCATCAATGAGGAAAATAACCTCCTAAACAACTCCGTGATGATCCTCACCTACGCCCTCATGAACGGTAGGCAGCGTGGGGGAACTTGCAGATGAAAGTTCTAAAAAGTGGCTGCTGCTCTCGGAGTGGGGGATCGGAGCCCTGCGAGTGCGCTTTGAAGGGCCCGGGGAGGGGCCACACGGACGCTGCTCCTGGGCCCGCCGCCTGCTCCTCCTCCTCCTTCCTCCGTTTCTGCGCCTCTTACTCTTCTTCGGCTTTGCTGCAGCCTGAGTGATGGGTTCACCTCCTGGCTGCCTCTCCGGCCACATTGCCCATCTGGCTTCTTCCCCTGAAGCAGAGTGACCCTCACGGTCCACTTGCTGGAAGGATTTGCCCAGTGGATGAGAAACACCCAGAAACTCCTTCCCTTGGGTTTCACCATGTTGAAGGGAAGCAGGGTGTGGAAATCTCTCTGAATCAAGGGGATGCCAGGACATTGGTTCTCCTGTTTTAATTACTTTGGGTGGGTTCGAGGGGCAGGGAGACCCCTGTTTGTCAGTGTTCAGGGTTCACTCTTGGTGTGCTTTTGGGACATCATATTCAGTGCCAGAGATCGAGCTTGGCGAGATCCTTAACCCTGTGCCATCTCTCCAGCCCTAATTACTGTCGGAAGTGTAGACTCCCAGTTATGACTGGCTCCCTTCTCGGACGGTGCAGTTCTCTGTGCGTCAGCTGAATGATGCCCTGCCCAAGAATCTGTGCTCTGCTGGTGAACCAGCACACTGTGTGAAAGTGGCTGATCTCATTTCCTTCTCTGGGCATCAACCTTGTGCCGGTAGCTAGTTCCTGAATCTCTTGTAAGGCCTCAGAATGATTTTATTGTTGTCTTTCTATTGTTGTTGGGTATTTTTTTTAATTAATGTATTATTTTTGGCTTTTTGGGTCACACCCAGCGATGCACAGGGGTTATTCCTGGCTCTGCACTCAGGAATTACTCCTAGCGGTGCTCGGAGGACCATATGGGATGCTGGGATAGAACCCAGGTCTGCTGAGTGAAAGGCGAACACCCTACCTGCTGTATTATTGCTCCAGGCCCTGTATTTGGGTTTTGCTTTGGGGACTATACCTGGTTGAGCCCAGGAAGGTGCTCAGGGGTCCCATGCAGTGGGGACTCCGGAGAACTAGGAGGTGCTGGGGAGCAAACTCAGTCCTTCCAAAACACGCACTCAGCCCCTTGAGCCACCTGCTCTTGGTGGAGTCATCTCCATGCCCAAGGTCTCCCTTTTCTCTAGCAGAACAGAAGGGATGCCGTCCGCTGGGGCTTGCTGTAGTCACTGCTGAACTAGACCCACGCCATGGTCCAGGTTCTTGGCACCATACCTGGTGACTAGCAAGTTACAAGAGTGTGTGGGCCTTGCCTGGGCTCTGCTCTGGTCTGGCCCAGTGCTGCTCAGGACCCTGTGACCCTCTTGGGCCGGCTTGTGTGATGCCAGGGCCATTCCACTGATATACTGTGCTCATAGACACCTCTCCTGCCCCCAGCTGCTAGAACCACAGCTTCTCAGGTGCAAACCCTCTCGCCTGGTTTTCTTCCGAGCTCTGTGGAGGAGGGGACACAGTTGCCTGCAGAGTGGTCCGTGGGTGCTTGTTACTCGGTGGCTAGTCTGAGTTTCTTTCACTCAGGAGAGGAGGGAAGAAAGGATGGACACAGGGGGACCCAGCACAGGTGGGTTGAACTGCGTGAAGCTTTTTGGTGATGGCCCAGTGGGCAGACAATAGAGATGATTCCGGTGTAGTGACCCATGAGGAAGCAGTGTGGGAGAAGCGGTCACTTCCTCCCCTTGAATTTGAAGGTTTGTCCAGGCTAGAGGTACAGAAGCACCTTTTGCTTTATACATCCCATGTCTGGGGGTTAGCGTTGTCTTTTGGGTTTTTTTTTTGGGGGGGGTGGTGTTTGAGGCCACACGTAGTGGTGCTTCGGGGCTACTCCCCACACAATGCCTGGGTGGGGGGTCATTCCAGGCAGTGCCGGGGGACCATGTGCTGTCTGGGCTCAAGCCCAGGCCTGACTCAAAGCTGGCAATCGGCCCATTGCACTGTCTCTCTAGCCCTCAGCCCTTCCCCCCAGAGTATCGTGCACTGGTGCTCTCCCTATGTATGTCATTCTCTTTTTGTTTTGTTTTGGGGGCCACACTCAGTAGTACTCAGAGGCTAATCCCTCTGGGCTGACCCCGGGCTCGATGCTCAGGTCACTCCTGGCAGTATTCAGGGATCCATGGGGCGCCAGGGATGGAATCTGGGGCTCCCACAGGCAGAGCCTGACCCTGGGCACCTCGGCTCGGCCTCTCTGCCCTCCCTTCTTCCTCTTTTCCATCTGTTCAGTGCATGTCCCAGGATCCTCCTCCAGGCTGACCCTGGCTTTCACGGCTGACCCTGGCTCTTGGGGCAGCAGAGCCGCTGGGAAACCTCAGGCATCAATACTTTATGATGGGAGTAAGAGCGTGTACAGTGATGGAGAACACAGGAATGGTGAAGCACCTGCCCTTGGGGGGCTGCTGGGAAAGCCACGGGAACCCAGAGGAGACGAGTGGGTCAAGATCGAATCTTCTGGGGTCTCTGTCTCTCCCCAGCGCTTCCCCCAATTTCCCTGTCTGGCAACCCTGCCCCTTTGGGCAACCTTTCACCTGGAAACATACAGGAAAGGGAATTCTGGGAATTGTAGTTTCCAACTGTGGCCATGTTGGAGCTGGAACAGCCCATCCACCTCCCCATTGTCCTTGCTGTCTGACTATTCGTGATGGACTCACATAAAATGCTCCACTGACCACCCCTCTTTGTCTCATCTCTGAGTTTTTTTGTTTTTTGCTTTTTTGCTTTGTGTGTGTGTCGGGGGGGTGTTTTTTGGGTTTTGTTTTGTTTTGTTTTGGGGGGGGTTGTGGGTTTTTTGGTTGTTGTTGTGTTTTTTTTTTGTTTTTTTGTTTTTTTGGGTTTTTTTTTGCTTTGCACAGGGGTCACTCCTGGCTCTGCACGCAGGAATTACTCCTGGCAGTGCTCAGGAGACCATATGAATTCATGGGAATTGAACCCAGGTTGGCTGCGTGCAAGGCAAATGCCCTACCCGCAGTGCTAGGTGCTATCACTCCAGCCCTCGTCTCTGTTCTTGTTCATTCCTTCTTTGAAATGTTGAGCTGCCGAGGGGTCCATGACAATGCAAGGAAGCGTATCTATTGCCATGAGTTGGTCTGCGCTTAACCCTTCTGTGTGAGCTGCTCAAGGTGAGACAGGTTAGAACTCAATCCTGCCTCCAGGTTGTTTGATTCGGGGGTCCCACTCACCTCTTCCCTGCCGATCTTCATTCTCAAGCCAGGGGAGCAGTGACCTCCTTCTGGTATCTCTTTTTCACTTTGCCCAAATGATGCAAATGTCTCAGATATTTAAAAACAGTGTATCAGAGGGGCCAGAGATACTACAGCAGGTAGGGTGCTTCCCCTTCACTCAGCTGACTGGAATTCAGTCTCTGGCACCCCATATGGTCCCCCAAGCCTTGCCAGAAGTGATCCCTGAGCACATAGCCAGGAGTAGGCCCTGAGCACCACTCGCTGTGGCCCCAAGACAAAAAATGAAGTGTATTAAAAATAAATGTTGTCCATTGTGTCCTGCCATGTCTTTAGAAAAGGACTTCTAAGGATGGAAATACATAGTTGCACTGGGACATAAGATTAGGACACTTGTTCTGCATACCACCAACCCTGGTTCAATACTTGGCCCAGGTAAGATTACCCCGGCACTGCCAGGAGTGATCCCTGAGCCCAGGCAGGTGTGACCCAGAAAAAAAAATTAAACAAAATATACAGAAGTATACATTTTTCTATTAAGGAATGATAAAGTCTCAAGGTAGGAGAACCAGGAGCTCTTCAAGTTCTTTTTTAATGCCAAATCAAAAGGCAAAACCACCTCTTAAAACTCACTGGAAGAAACTCAGTAGTGATTGAAATAATTTAAGTTTGTTTACAGTGGTACCCATATGGGATCATTTACTAATCCCTTTGACTCTGTTCCAACAATAGCAAGCTCTATTTTTTTAAAGATTTATTAAATTTATTTTTGTGCTATAGGTTGCAGATGTTGTGGAATAATACAAGCCAGTATGCTTAAATCTTTGACAAAGGTTTTAAAACTGTCTAACGTAAAAACTATACATCAAGTATATCGAATCCAGCATTATCCTAACAATATCAAGCATGAAACCCTTTGTAATTAAAATGAGCTTAAAGAAGCAGGGTTTGGGGCCATCACTAAATGCAACCCATAGTTCTACTATTTGGTTGCATGTGTATTTGGCTAATGCTTAATACGCAAAGACCAAAGAAATGAAATGGTAGACCTCCATCCTTTCAAACTCTGACAATTTCTCAAATTAAATTAAACACAGACTTGTTAAGCATTACTTTTGCTTTCAAATATTAAATGCATAAAAATGATTGAAATTTAATAATTAAACTGTTAGGGAGGAACAGGTCCTTGCAAAATAGGGCTCCTTTATTCACTCATATGTTTCTCATCATTGCCTTTTAAAGAATTCCTTCGCCCGCTTACTTCAGGAAAGACCATGCCTCGGGCTTTGTTTCTCAACAGGAACTGGTATCTCCCCACCCCCCATCCGTGGCCAATATTCTCCCTGTGAAGATCTCTTGGGCATTGCAAGACCTCACGCATGCTTTCATAGAGAGTAGCAGAGTTACAGTATGAAGACTCAGCATTGGTTTTTTTTTTTTTTGCTTTTTGGGTCACACCCAGCGATGTTCAGGGGTTACTTCTGGCTCATGCACTCAGGAATTTCTCCTGGCGGTGCTCAGGGGACCATATGGGGTGCTGGGAATCGAACCTGGATCGGTCATGTTGGCTGCGTGCAAGGCAAACACCCTACCTGCTGTGCTATCACCCCAAGACTCAGCATTTTGCTTTATGACTCCCTCCCTTTGGCTTCACATTTCAGATGGGGTGACTGGTTTGAAAGAGCTGGCTTTTCTGAGAGACCTGGCGGAACAGAACTCGGGGAAGTACGGGGTCCTGGACCGGACAGCCTTGCCCGTGATCAAGGGGAGCATGATGGTGCTGAACCAGCTGAGTAACCTGGAAACCACCGTGGGCAGGTTCTACACCAACCTTCCCAACCGCATGATCGATGAAGCCGTCTTTAGCCTCCCCTTCTCTGATGAGATGGGAGATGGTGAGTTTGGAGAAGACTTCCTACATCAGAAGGGGAGAGGGCAGGGGTCTGCCGAGTCGGGCCCTTTGCACTATTGTCCGGTACTTATGTGGGAGCATCTTGGCAGGGAAGAGAGGGACATCCCGTCACTCGTCAGAAGTTTGCTTCATCCCTGCCATCATCTGCGCAGACAGAGTTCTAGAGAGCATCACTCGTTTTCTTTCTCTCTTTCCTAGGCTTAGTGGGCATCAGAGACTACCAGGTTGTTTTGTTAGGCTTCCCCAGGCTCCAAAAGTTAGTGAATAGGAAAAGAAGAGTAACTCTGCAGAGAGCCTGGTCAGTAAAACTCCAGAGTTTTTGGAAGTCAGTCTTAAAGGCAAAGTAATGTGGTACCATCATACAAATACAGACTTGGCATGGGAGAAGTGTAGAAATCCCAGCCTTCCACTTACATCATTACTTGGTCATATCATTATATTTTATTATATTCTAATTTATTATTTCAATATAGTATTTGAAATGGGATTCACATTTCCCCTGTTTCAAATCTAATAACAGCTTTCATAAACCTTGCAAGGTATTAAGACGATACGATATTTTAGTGCCTGCATGCCTCTCAATAATAATTACTGCTCTCACTTTAGTTTTCCTATTTATTTTACTTTGGTGATTTTGTGTTACTATGATCATCTTCCTTATAATACAGCTTAACCCACAGTCTGTTGGAGAAAATTCTTAACCTTTCCCTGGCTCAATTTCCTGACCTATCAAGTAGGGAGAATAGCATTTCCCTCAAGGCCGTGGTGGAGATGAAATGCACTGAGTTATGGAAGATATCTAGAATAACAGCTGGCCAACAGGATGTGCTGAGTAAAAGTAAAGCCCTCGCCTTCCCTTCCACTTTGTAATCTTGCTTGTGCTTTTTCCCCATCCTTCTCTCTGGCCCTTCACAGATGAGACCAAAGTGGTACCTAGTTGCAAGCCAGATCGACACCATGATCATACGAGGTTTTACTATTATGCTCTGTCAGCTAGGAAGTCTCGCAAATGCAGCTATTCATCGAAACCTTTTAGAGTTTTAAAGTAACCAGCCTAGAAAGAGAGTGTTTTCTTTAAAAATAGGTCAAAATAATCTTTCTCTAAAGAAGAAATGTAGCGGCCATGCCTAGGCAATTGTTGTCATTCCTCTTTCTGGGCGAGTTCTACAGATGAATACAGAGAAGGAGTTCCCACCTTGAGATGGAGTGATTTCTTTTCATAAGAAAATGACAGCACAGTGTTTGGATCTAGCCACAAGTGTGTGTGGGGCTGAGGGTAGGTAAGATGGAGAAGAGACCAGTATGACAATAATAGCTGGGAATGATCATGCTGGACAAGATCTGAGTGTTAAAAGGAGGTAAAGGGATATTCTTGATAACCTTTCAGTATTAATATTGTAAACCACGAAAAGGGGGAGAGAGAGAGGGGGGGGGGAAACACCTGCCATAGGGACAGAGAGACAGGGCAGGGGTTGGGGGTCAGGGTGATGGTAGGGAACCTGGGTACACTGGTGCTGGGAAATGTACAGTAGTGGAGGGATGGGTGTTGGAACACTGTATGACTGAAATCCAATCACGTCATGAATAGCTTTGTAAGGGTCTATCAGTGATTCAATAAAGAAGTAGGAAGGAAGGAAGGAAGGAAGGAAGGAAGGAAGGAAGGAAGGAAGGAAGGAAGGAAGGAAGGAAAGAAAGAAGGAAAGATACAGCAGGGAGCATATGCCTCAGGAAGGAAGGAAGGAAGGAAGGAAGGAAGGGAGGGAGGGAGGGAGGGAGGGAAAGAAAGAAGGAAAGAAAGAAAGAAAGAAAGAAAGAAAGAAAGAAAGAAAGAAAGAAAGAAAGATACAGCAGGGAGCATATGGCTCAGCATTGGTGCACTTGTCTTGCATGTATTAAGGCCTTAGGTTTGATCCCCAAGCTCACTAAATCAGGGGGAAAAAATGGCACTAAGGTTTAGGTGCAAATAACATGTACGCATTTAGCCCACACTGCTAAGTGCCATGTCAGGCAGGAATGGGTCATCCCCATGTGCCACCCTCAACAGAGTTCAGATCTGGTCAGAGAAAAACGGGCACCAGAGCATCATGGGAATGAAGACTGACTAGCAGCTGGTTCCCACCGAGACAGCCAGGAGCCTGCAGTTCATTTGTCACCAGAAATGGTGTCAGGAGAGAAGGCTTGGTGCTGAGATTCACTTTTCCAGCCAGAGAGCAATCCTGATTGTGTGAACTTCGGCTCCCTGATGGTGGAGGTCCCCTAACGTCTCATCCTCAGGGCCTGTTGTATCAATCCTGACCTGTGTGTCCAGGATGTGTCCACTGGTCTATTGCCATTCCCTGCTAGAACGTATGTTTGGATCTCTGTGTCCCCGAAATTTGCAGATGCCAGTGGCCCTGATTACCCCAGTGGACCCCACCTTCGTCACCCTTTCACCAGAAGCTTCCATAAGGTGAAGGAAGATTTCCAGCAGAAAGAGGAATGATGGCTTGTTCCACATAGTGTCCACTTAGGGTCCCTTTCCTGCCTCCATGGGTTGCTCTGCAGTTCAAATGGACCCCTGAGAAGTGGAATGAACCTGTGTCCTTTTTTTCAGGCTGGTTCTACCTGGAGGAGAATGGGAATCTGAAGTGAGCCTGGGCTCTGCCAGTTTATTTCTCTTGTATTTAGTCTTAGATGAAAGCCTGGGGATGTGGCCATGGGAGCTTCTGCCCCCTTTGGCCTCAGAGCCCTGCTCCCAACTCTGACAGCCCAGTTGTCTTAGGATACCCAAACAAAATCCTCTCACATGCTTTTGGGGGCATGCCAGGAAGTATTCAGGGGACCATGTGGTTCCAGGATCGAACCAGGGGCTCCTGCATACAAAGCTTGTGCTTCAGCCCCTCAGCCTGTCTCCAAAAGACATTTCAGAATCATTTTTTGGTTTGCAGAGGGGGCACTTCCAGCAGTGCTCAGGGCTTATTCCTGTCTCTGCATTCAGGGATCACTCCTGGCAATGCTCAAAGTGATTGGATGCCATCACTTTGGCATCAAACCCAGGGCAGCCATATGCGAGGCATCTCTTCAGCCCCTGAAATCCTCCTAAAATGCGTATTTGTCTTTTTGTTTTGCACGGGTCCACACTCGCCTCTGTCCCGAGCCTTCTCTGCTCATATTTGTGATTTTTTTTCTTTTTGGGTCACACTTAGTGATGCACAGGGGTACAGGGGTTACTCCTGGCTCTGCACTCTGGAATTAATCCTGGCAGTGCTCAGGGGACCATATGGGATGCTGGGAATTGAACCCAGGTCGGCCACATGCAATGCAAACGGCCTACTTGCTGTGCTACCGCTCCAGCCCCTGTGATTCTTGTCTTCATTCCTAACCCGTAGGTTTAATCATGACCGTGAGCAAACCCTGTTATTTTGGAAACCTCCTTCTGGGGATCGTGGGTGTGGACGTGAACCTGGCGTACATCCTTGAAGATGTGACTTATTACCAAGACTCTCTGGCTTCCTACACTTTTCTCATCGATGACAAAGGTAAAGAAGGAAGGGTTTCTCTCATGCAATCTGGAGAGTGTCGATGCTCGTACCCAGCAAGTGGGAGGAAGCGAGTATTCATCAACTTGTCGTGACTAGCCCCGCTCCTGTGTAGAGTGCTAGAATGAATGAATCTACGCCTTTGTGTGTTGGTATCTGTAAACGGGCTGTTAGACTCGAGGATTGAACAATGCGTAAATGGGATATTTCCCTTTATTGATGTATTTCGGTGTGCTCAGGGAACCCCATGGTACCCTGAAGTACGTGTGAAGCATGCACTTTAATGCTAGGAGTACTTTCCAGACACTACACGTGTACACCCCAGCTGCAGATGTTGTTTCATTTTGGAGCTACACCCAGCTCGATGAGCAGAGCATTCTGGCATTTCTCGAGGACCATGTAATGCCTGGGATCAAACCTGGACGCAGGCATGCAGGATCTGTGAGCTTTGAACTCTTGTGCCCAGCGCCCCCATCCCCCCACAGAATGTTCTTGATTAGACAGATGTTGACTAATTCAAGACATCTCCCTATACTTCAATAGCTTTATGCAAATAAAAAACTCATAAAATACATTTTGTTTTGATTGGACGGTAACTTAGAAACAAAGAGATTGCATGCTGGGCAAGCATCCCGGAAGATCCCACGTTTCAAATCTCTGACAGGCTCTTGATTAGGATCGGTGCTTCCTACGTGTTTCCCCATGGCGTGTAACTTCCTTTTCTTGTTTCAGGATATACCCTCATGCATCCATCTCTTACCAGGCCCTACTTACTCTCAGAGCCTCCTCTTCATACTGACATCATTCACTATGAAAATATTCCAAAATTTGAGCTGGTGCGGCAAAATATCCTCAGGTAAGGCAAAAGTGAGGGGTCGTGGTGGTTTGGTTTTGCTCCGAGAAGAGATACCCATCTAGGTCAAAGAGGAATGGCTATTATGGGAGATGTAACAAGTATATTAATCATTTTAATGAGCTCGCAAGTGTAGGCATCGTTTTCCCCTTATGATCAGTAGCCAACATTGTGTTTGTATCGAAGATAAGGTCTCCCAGAACTGTGGTTTGAGCAGAACATCTTGTAAATCAAGGACTGTGTTCATATCAACTTTGGAATGGTGCAATGAAATAAATCTTTCACTGTTGAAAATTTAAAAAAAAATGTTCTGTTTATACCAATTTTGAAAAGTGTTTGCAAAAGGCAAAGTTGGGTTTAGGACCGAGCCCAAAAGACTACTTGGAAAGCTAGTGTTTGCTCCTAGTTCATAAACGGTCGATTGCAACCTTTCCCAACCTTGCTGCATTGTTTTGTGCTCACCCATACCTATGGGTTTTAAATCAGTGACTGAGGGATTTGAGGCGAGTTTGTCTCAGAAAGAAAAAATCAGAAAGAAGGAGCAGGGTGTCAGGAAGAACAGGAACTGTTTTCGTAGTAGAGCGGACAGGAGGCTTTATGGCCAGAACGTCTCCTGCGAGATGCAGAGCCATGGGCTCATTGCTTTCCGATCAGGAGGGAGCCCTGACCCTGGCGCCTGCTGCTCTCACTGGCTGCATTCTGTTCCCTCTTGCACCTGCAGCCTCCCGCTGGGCAGCCAGATCCTCGCCGTGCCCGTCAATTCCTCCCTGTCTTGGCACATCAGCAAGCTGCGGGAAGCCGGGAAAGAGGCCTACAACGTGAGCTACGCCTGGAAAATGGTGAGTGAGGCCATGCGGCTCTGCAGGGCCAGATCGGGGCCTTGTCAGTATTTGAAAGTGATTGGTTTCTTTTTCTTTTTTTTTTTTTTTCCTTTCTTTTTTGGACCATGTGGGACACCAGGGATTGAACTTGGGTCGGCTGCGTGGAAGGCAAAAGCCCTACCCACTGTACTATGGCTCTGGCCCCAGTGATTGGTTTTCTTTGTACGGGTCCTTTACCTCCTTTGTTAAGCTGATTCCAAGGTACTTTTTTTCCCTTTTGTTTTTAATTTTAACTTTTTGGGTCACACCCAACATTGCACAGGGGTTGCTCCTGGCTCTGCACTCAGGAATTACACCTGTCAGTGCTCGGGGGACCATTTGGGATGCTGGGAATTGAACCCAGTCAGCCGTGTACAAGGCAAACGCCCTACCTGCTGTGCCATTGCTACAGCCCCGGTACTTGATTTTTTGAGGCATGATTGTGACTGGCAAGCTACCCATGGCGTATTCCATATGCCAGAAACAATAGCAGTAACAAGTCTCATTCCCCTAACCCTGGAAGAGCCTCCAGTACATTGGGAAAGATGAGTAGGGGGAGGCTGCTAAAATCTCAGGGCTAGGACGAATGGAGATATTACTGGCGCCAGCTCGAGTAAATTGATGAACAGTGGGATGACAGTGATCCAGTGATTGTGAACGGGATTTTTTTTTTCATATCCCTTTCTTCTCTCTCATCATTTGCCTACAGGAAAGCCATGGACTTTTAGGTATTGATTTTATAGCATGTGACTTTACTATACAAGTCTATTTTTCTAGGAGCATCTTGGTAAAGGCTTGAGGGTTCTGTAAAGACAGTATCATGTCATCTGCAAATAGTGAGAGCTTGATTTCTTCCTTTCCTATTTTTATGCCCATAATGTCTTTTTCTTGCCTAACTGCTATGGCAAGTGCTTCTAGTACTATATTGAATAGAAGTGATGAGAGTGGGCATCCTTGTCTTGTCCCTGATCTTAGAGGGAAGGCTCTTAATTTTTTTCCCCATTGAGAATAATGCTTGCCACAGGCTTGTGATAGATGGCTTTGACTATATTGAGGAACGTTCCTTCAATTCCCTTTTGCTGAGAGTTTTCATCATAAATGGGTGCTGGATTTGGAGGGCTGGAAAGATAGTACAGCATGTAGGGTGTTCTCCTGGCACTGGATTCCACCCCCGGACCACAGGTAGAAGGTTCCCTGCGCACTGCTGGGTGTGGTCCCAAAACAAAACAAAAGCTGTGCCATCTCCCTGGCTGTGCCCAGAGTCTTCACTCCACACTCTGCTCGGAGTTTTCTTGCTTCCTGGAGTATCAAATGGCATCAGTATTTCTAAAAGGGATCTGGGAGCAACAGAATCATAAAGGAGACTGTTTCAGAGGCTTAATGACTTTACAAGCTGACGTTGACATATTATGGGCAGTGGTACAGATTGGAGGAGAGTCCAATCTGTTTTGAAATTTGGGGTCAGCTCATTTTTTTGTATTTTTAAGAATGACTCTATAGGGGCTGGAGGGATAGTACAGGGGGTCAGGCACTCACTTTACACCCTGGTTCCATCTCTGGTACTGCATTTGGTTCCCAAGGCACCACCCAGGTTGATCCCTGAGTACCTCTAGACGTGGCCCTAAAACAAATAAAAAGAATAATTATGCCACTGCCCTTCTATTTATATTCGTATACTGTTTCTTTTTTTTCTTTTTTTTTTTTTTTTTTTTTTTTTGCTTTTTGGGTCACACACAGCGATGCACGAGGGTTACTCCTGGCTCTGCACTCAGGAATCACTCCTGGCGGTGCTCAGGGGACCATATGGGATGCTGGGAATCGAACCCAGATTGACTGCGTGCAAGGCAAACGCCCTACCCGCTGTGCTATCTCTCCAGCCCCTGTTTCATTTTTTTTTTTATACTAGAAATTGTAGACCAGCATCAGAAATCTTAATTGAAAAAAATGGGGATTTTTTAATTTTTTATTTGAAGTTGAAAATTGTTTCTCTCTGGCAGCTTATTCTGGATGAAAGTGGCTCGATTATATCCTGGGAAATAGCGTATTGGGGGTGGGGAGAGGTGGGTTTGGGGTTTTTTTTTTTTTTTGGTCGCCCTCCCTCCCCACAGGAGAAGGGACACACCTGGTGGTGCCCAGGGCTTCTGAGCTCTGTGCTCAGGGATCACTTGGGGAATCATAAGAGGTGTTCAGGATCGAACTGGGTCAGCTGTGTGCAAGGCAAGAGTTTAAGATTGTTCGGGCTGGAGCAATAGCACAGCAGGTAGGGCGTTTGCCTTGCATGCAGCAGACCCAGGTTCGATTCCCAGCATCCCATATGGTCCCCCTGAGCACCGCCAGGAGCAATTCCTGAGTGCATGAGCCAGGAGTAACCCTGTGCATCGCCAGGTGTGACCCAAAAAGCAAAAAAAAAAAAAAAAAAAAAAAGAGTTTAAGGTTTTTTGCTTTGGTGGTTTTTTGTTTTGTTTGTTTTTTCATTTTTTTTGGGGGGGGGGAGTTTTGCTTTTTTGGTGTTGCCAGGAATCGAATGCATAACTTCAAACATGCAAGGCAAGTACGGTACTATTGGGCCGCATTCCTGGCCCATCGGCCTTTCTAAGACCACGTTTGCTGGGAATAATTTAACTTTACATCTCAGAAAGAAAGTGTCTTCAGGAGGAGCCAGAACAATCTATCAGCAGCTACAGGACACTTGCCTTACACGTGGCTGGCCCGGGTTTGATCCCCGGCACCCCATAGGGTCCCCCAAGACCTGTCAGGAGTGGTCCCTGAGCACTTAGCCAGGAATTCACTTCAAAGAAAAAAAGAAATTATTTTCATGAGATAGTTTTTCTTGTGGCTGGAGAAATAATAAAGGGATCAAGATGCTTGCCTTGCACATGGCTGTCCCTGGTTTGAGCTTTAGTACTCCGAGCACTGAGCCAGGAGTAAGCCCTTAGCACTACTGGTATGTCCCGACCCCTCTTCCTCCCCCCTCGCCCCCAAATGTTTTTTCTTTGGTAATTCTGGTAAATTCCACTGACTCAGCACTAACCAAATGGAGGTAATCAGATCAATCTTTTGAGAGTGATTATTCATAGATATGATTTACATCCTCAGTGTTCTGAAACCATCAAATGGATTGCCCTAAGGCAGGGGGAAAATGGCCATTAATAATGAGATTAATGACTAAGAGGCTTACCTGGTTACCCAGCAATAGGGGCAAATAATTTTTAAGCTCTCTTTATTTCCTTCCAGGGAGCAAGTAGGTACACTTCTTGTCCTAAGGAATACAGTGGTTTCTCCCACTAATTACAGCCCACATAGATTTAATTTATGAGGGAAATAATTGCTAAACCACTTAGTATCCATAGGCACAGCAGTCCTAGTGGTCTGTTTATATGGATTAATTTACATCTTAATTCAGAGATTACTGGGATGAGAGCCAGTATAGCAGGTAAAGAAAGGCACAACTTTTGCCTCAAATGTTGCCACATAAGGTCCCCCATGCACGGAGTCAGGAGTCAGTCTTTATTTATTTATTTATTTATTTATTTATTTTTAGTGAATCACCATGAGGTACAGTTACAGACTTACGAACTTTTGTGCTTATGTTTCAGTCATACAGTAATTGAGTACCCATCCCTCTACCAGTATCCATTCTCCACCAACAATATTCCCAGTATCCCTCCCACCACCACCTCCCCCCACCCCCGCCTCTGTGGCAGGCATATTCCCTTTTACTCTCTTTGGGTGTTGTGGTTTGCAATAGAGGTATTAAGTGGCCATCATGCTCAGTCTATAGTCTACTTTCAGCACACATCTCCCCTCCCAAGCGGGCCCTCCAAGCATCCTTGACTTGGTGGTCCCTTCTCTATCTGAGCTGCCTTTTCCCCCAGCATGCGAGGCCGGCTGCCAGGAGTAAGTCTTGAGCACCACTGGGTGTGGCCAAAAGAAATCACACAAATTAAAATAATGAGAGATTATGCTAGCCTTGGGAAAGACTACCCCCCACCCCACCCCACTTCCTGAGTATAAGCTCAGTTTGTCTCATGGCATTTGCAGGAACGAAAGGAAGAATTAACCGACAAAGGTATTTGAACACTCTTGTGTCTCACAGGGATGGTTTCCTGCAGAACATGAGTCCTCTGGGCATCCAATGACAAGAGCTTTCCAGTCCTGGCCAGTTTGTCTTGGAGTATCCAGCTCCTTAAAGCTGGCCCTGTGGGTTTTCAGCTAACCAGGCTTCTAAGGACCCTTATGGAAACTGGTTTTGCTTCCTCGCTAAGGACCAATGGAGCTGTTTGGGGAAGCTTAGGCTAACTTTATTTCCTCTTCCGGAATAGATCCAGTTACAAAATGATCTTCTGGTTGTTCTGGCCAAGATTTTGTCTCAGGTTCTTTTGTGGATGTGCAACATTCAGCAGAAGCAACTCCAAGAATGATTCTGAGTAACAAGAAAGGGGAGATGGGCAAGTCTGTTCCAGAACTGTCCCCTTCCTGATGTGCTAGGTGAAAGAAGAGGTTCAGGTGCTAATCTAATTGAATATCCCTGGCAGCAGACTTGAAAGCAATGCCAGGAAAATGTGAATATCTTCTGTTTTCACGACGATTCCACATAAACCCTAAATTCCCCTTAGCTCTAAACCCACCTCATTCCAAAAATGAGTTTGCTCAGGAAGTAAATCCTTTCAGCTTTTTCTCTGACTTTCCTTTAATTCAGCTAAGCTGGCTATCACTCCCTTGATTTACTTACAAACCATTTCTGAAATAGTTTCCATCTGTCTCCTTGGAGAACTTGAGTTTTCTTGTATATTTAAATCGGAGTAGCTTGACTTGGCTCCGGATTTTTTGGTGATATCTTTCTCATCAAAGTCTACTCAGGCATCCATTTCTAGGATCACCGTGAACTTGAAAGTACCCGTTAACCAGAGAGCTGGCACAGAGATGACGGCCTTTGCCTTGTAGGCAGTCGCTCCCTGGTTCGATCCTGGCACCACATAGTTCTCAAGCTCCACTAGGTGTGACCCTGATATTCTCCATGCCACAAGGCCCAGACAGCAGTCCTCCTTTGGGTCGGCTAGCTGAGGATCACTGAGAGGGGGAGTCCCCCGCTCCAAGCCTCATTAATAGGCGTTTATTAAACGAAGGTATAGCACACACACCATCCATGGTCTGAAATGATGACGCAATAAGGAGCTTTGTAGGGTTGGGGTTTTGCCACGTGTCCGAGATCCTGGTCAGCTCCAGCCAAGAATCGAATGTGTTGTTGGTAGGGAATGGAATGAATACGCCAGTATCTGCTGCTGGGTTTTCCAAAGTGTGAATTCACATTGGCTTTCAATATAGTTACCTCATAGAACACTCACTGCAAAAGTCCACTCTACAGTTTCTTAAAATGTGTTCCAAACCCAAAGAGAAATAAGAGTATTCTTTAGCCTGTTGCAGACTGGGTCCACTATTATGGTTTGTTTGTTTGATTTTGTTTTGAGGACATACTGGGCAATGCTCAAGGGTTACTCCTGGCTCTGCACTCAAATTATTCCTGGTGGTGCTTGGGGGATCATATGGGGTGCCAGGAATGGAACTCAAGTCAGCTGTGTGCAAAGCAAGTGCCCTATCTGCTATATTATCTTTCCAGCCCTAGGTCCCTATTCTTTTTTTTTTTCCTTTTTGAGTCACACCCGGTGATGCCTCGGGGTGCTCCTTTCTCCCTTCTCTGTGCTTGGGAATTACTCCTGGCGGTGCTCAGGGGACCATCTGGGATGCTAGGGTTTGAACCCGGGTCGGCCACATGCAAGGCAAACGCCCTCCTTGCTGTGTTATCGCTCCAGCCCATGGGTCCATTATTCAGTGGGCAAGGGAGTCACAGTTTCAAGGACTTTTTCTAATCCTCTCATTAAAACCATGATTTTGTGTTTCGTCCATGAATTTCCCTCCTACCAAGAGGAAAATAGAAAATATCATCCCTTGCCATGACACATTCTCTATTATGCCCATTGTCATGCTTTGCGTTCACGTACCCTTTTTTTATTTTTTTAGGTGCAAGATACTTCATTCATTCTCTGTATTGTGGTGATACAACCGGAAATCCCTGTCAAACAGCTGAAGAATCTCAACACCATCCCCAGCAGCAAGCTGCTCTACCATCGCTTGGACCTCCTGGGCCAGCCTAGCGCTTGCCTGCACTTCAAACAGCTGGCAACCCTCGGTAATGCTGCTCCTGTGCCCACCACCACCAAACCCATCCTAGAGATCAGTTTATTTTCTTATTTTTTATTTGTTTTTTTTTTACATTTTCTTTTTTTTTAAATTTTTATTGATTGATTGATTGATTGATTCACCATGAGGTACAGTAACAAAACTTTCATGTTTGAGCTTTGATCATACAGTCATTAAATAGCCATCCCTTCACCAGTGCACGTTTTCCACCACCAAAATCCCCAGTCTACCCTCCACAACTCTATACCTCCCCCTGCCTATGTGGCAGACAATTTGCACAATACTTTCTTTCTTTACTTTAGTTACCTTCAATATTTTGAGACCAGTCCCACCACCCCTTATACCTGCCGAAAAGGCAGTGCTAGACAATGTGTTTTGCATTGCTTGTTATGGATACAATATAATGTTCATATATAGTGCAATGGACATTGCTAAAGTGGGCACCAGTAATGTCTCCACTGTGGGACTTGTTGTTAACCATTGCATATCAAATACACAATGGATAGCTTGCCAGCTCTGCTGTGCGGGCGGGATACTCTTGGTAGCTTGCTGGGCTCTCCAAGAGGGACAGAGGAATCGAACCTGGGTCAGCCGCATGCAAGGCAAACACCTTACCCACTGTACATTACAAAAAAAAAATGATGTTTTATGCACATCTGTCCAGTTCAGGGTGCAAATATCAACAAAGCCTGCCTGCATCTTGCTGTGTTTGGGGCTCTGCCGTAGGATGCTGCTGGTGTTTCCTCTAAGGATGGATCATTCTCTGGAAACCAGCAAGGGTACCGGAAGGAGGGGAGAGCGAGCCAGTCCAAAAAGAAACATTGAACATTAAACTGGGTCAATTGAGGCAGCTTCTCTGGGCTAAGGAGAGAAACAAAAATCAAAATAGGGTTCCCAAGAGGTGGTTTCTAAGAGCTGGAACTGTTCCCCTGGGCTTCTCACCGCATACACACAGGCTTTCTATGAGCCGGGGACCCGGGGGATCCTGAGATATTCCCAGGGGCCACAAGTGAAAGTAGCATCAATGGGGAGTCAGTGCAGAAGGCTAGGTGGGCAACCAGTAGGACAGGGGCCACAGGGAGGCAACGAGGTGGGAAGGGGGCCACAGTCAGAAAAGGGTGAGAAACTCTGGTTTGGAGAATAAAGTCCTAACTCTGCCCTCAGCTTGGGTTTCCTGTCATTAGAGTGGACCCACCTCTGGAACTCTGTGGTATCACCGACAAGGTTAGGTGGGGTTTTTATTTTGTTTGTTTGCTTTTCTTTGGCTTTTTTGGGTCACAGTCAGTGATACACAGGGGTTACTCCTGGCTCATACACTCAGCAATTACTCCTGGCAGTGCTTGGGGGACCATATGAGATGCTGGGAATTGAACCCGGGTCAGCTGTGTGCGAGGCCAATGCCCTCCCCACGCTCCGGCCCCCAGTCGCCCACATGTAGGTATGTGTCAGCACATGGTCTTCTTTTCCTCATTCCAGCTCCTCCTAGTGCTTTGTTTTCCTCAGGGAAAGTCTTGAAGCCACTGTCCCAGGGACAGCTGGGCAGGGCCCCCACCATCAAGCCTGTGGGGGCACTTGGGGTCTCACACCTGCTTCATACCCTTCTCTTTTAGAAAGTCCCACCGTCATGCTGTCGGCCGGCAGCTTCTCCTCACCCTACGAACACCTCAGCCAGCCAGAGACGAAGCGCATGGTGGAGCACTACACCGCCTACCTCAGCGACAACACCCGCCTCATCGCCAACCCGGGCCTCAAAGTGAGTGCTGGTATAGAACCCCATGTCATGCTGACACCCCCCCCCCATCCCTCCGGGGCACTTCGGCAGGGGCATTGGTAGCTGGGCATCTTTGAAGTGGTAAGTCCAGCTCCCCAGAGCCAGAAAGACAGGGTGTATGGCCCAGCAGGGGCTGGCCGGGGCCATCAGCAGTGACCCCTCTGATGGATTAGGATTAAGGCCTGGGCTGACACAGACAAAGAATGTTTGAGGCACCCAGGAGCCCGGGCTAGTGGTGGGGTGGCCTGTTGCTGAGGTTGGTTGGGTATGATTTACACTTAAGGGAAATGTTCTCAGCCTTCCCCCCCCCCCACCCCCCAGAGAAAAGAAATGCCCCTCCTATCAGACAAGATAAAATGGCTAAAGTTTAGGGAGTGCAGAGATGTGAACCAGGGGTCTGTGTGTTCGAATTCGAACTCGTAAGATTCTGCATCACCACCCGCTTCAACACAGAACGCCTGGCGAAACCAAACAGTGAAGTGAATCCCACATTGACTCTGTCTCATCAGCTTTTGTTTCCACCAAGTTTGGCCACGTCCATCTGCTGTGGAAGGATTGTCTGAGAAGTAATTGGGCTTGGCTCCGCTGCAAGGGAGCTTTGGGAAGGGCTGCCAGCCGTCCAATCTCTTTTCAAGAGTCTTAAAGCATCCCCGCATGTCTCCCTTTGTCTCTCAGTTCTCTGTCAGAAATGAAGTCATGGCTACCAGCCACGTCACAGATGAATGGATGACACAGATGGAAATGAGTAGCCTGAACCCTTACATTGTCCGCCGTTACATAGCAACGCCCAATGGTGTCCTCAGAATTTACCCTGGCTCACTCATGGACAAAGCATTTGATCCCACTAGGAGACAATGGTGAGTTTTTTTCGGGGCTTCCATTATCAAAGGTTGCCCTCCCGCCCCCCAACCCCCTCCAGCGACCCCCAATCCTGGAGAGTCTTGGAAACTACATACAACAAAGCAACTTAAGGCAGTCACATGAAAGAAGATACTTTCTGTGAAAACAAGTTTTTTAAAAATTTTTTTTAGTATCTTATTACTAACTGCTTTGTGGTTTTCTTTTGTGTGCTGTGTTTTTACCTCCTTGCTGAAATTTTGAGACTGGGGGCCAGAGCAATAGTGCAGTGGATAAGGCGTTTGCCTTGCACACACCAGAGCCGGGTTCAATCCCCAGCACCCTATATGGTTCCCAAGCGCCCACCAGGAGTGATTGCTGAGTGCAGAGCCAGGAGTAAGCCCTGAGCACTGCCAGGTGTGGCCTCTCCTAAAAAAAGAATGAAATTTTTTTAAACGATAAAGCTCCCTGTTAAAACATTTAAATTCCTGGGGGGGGTTCGTTTGATCCCTACCTGTATGCAGTATTCCCATAGTATAGATTGAATTTCTCTGCACATAGTTGGAGTATCAAATCATCACACACGAATATTTTACCTTATTTTTAAAAACGATATGCATAAATTCAAAAGCACCTTTGCATTTGGGGCTTTCTTTCCCTCTGGTTTTTAAAACCAGAGCAGGTAGGTTGCATAGTTGGGAGGCAACTGGACCCAGAAGTTTGAATTTCTTGGGCTGTGCTGCTTATAACCGGCTAGCTCCAGTTCCTGCTTTGTCACTCATTCTATCTACTAAGGAAGCATGTTTTAAGTGCTGACATATTAGTTTCGTTCCATTGATCATTTTCTTTTTATTTTAACCTATAAAACAGCTACACATTAGAATTTCTTTAAAACTCATCTATATACTGAGTTCAGTGTCTTATATTTTTTTTTGTAGGGGGTGGAGGGGTAGGTCCTCTAAAGTGGCATTTTGGTGGCCCAGGATGACTCTTAACCAACTAAGCCCAGCCTTCTATGTGAGGATCTCAGGATGCAGTGCTGCCTGGGGTGTTGTGGTTCCCAAGGGGTTGTGGTGACGTTCAGGGGCCCATGAGGTACTGGAAGTCAAACTCTGGTCAGGCATATGACTCGTGCACCCTAACCTCTGCACAGTCTCCCGACTGCTCAGTGCCTCTTTGAAAAGAATTTCGAGATTTTTTTTTTTGGATTTGGTTTTGGTTTTGGTTTTGGTTTTGTTTTGGGGCCACAACCAGAGATGCTCGGGGGGGTGACTCCTGCTTGCTCTGCACTTAAGAAGTATTCCTGGCAGTGGTCAGGGAACCATATGGGATGCTGGGAATCGAACCCGGGTCGGCCACATACAAGGCAAATGCTCTACCTGCTGTACTATCACTCTGGCCCCCAGAATTTCATGATTTCTTAATCTGTTGTGTTGATGGAACTGTCAGACGTAGAAGGTACGAATCAAGCTGGGGAAAGAGATAGCAGTTAGGACGCAAGCCTCAACCCAGGTTTGATCCCCAGCACCACCTGACCTCTTGCGCATTACCAGGTGGATCCCTATTAAAGTGGCTTGGGTTGGCCCATGCCTCTCAGAACCTAAGAGCGTCACATCCTTGGGACTTGCACAAAACTTTCAGCCAGGGGGCCATAGTACAGCAGATAGGGCATTTGCCTTGCATGCAGCCAACATAGGTGTGATCCCCACCACTCCATACAGTCCCTGAATTCACAAGGAGTGATCTCTGAGCACAGAACCAGGATTAAGCCCTGAGCACTGCTCAGTGAGCACCCCTCCCCCATAAAAACAAAAAAATACTGAGTATCTCCAGGAGTGGCCCATGAGCCCCATAGCAATTTATAGAACACCCCTACCCCAGAGAAAAAGCATCGAAAATCCCATAGATTCTCATATTACGTGTGCACAGTTTGTAATGAAGATGTTTCGAGTAACAAATTTATTATCCTTCCACGGTGTTGGATAGTTTCTGCATCCTAAGCTGACATGGAGGTCTGCTCTCACCAGGTACCTGCACGCCGTCGCTAACCCCGGCCTGATTTCTCTCACTGGCCCTTACTTAGATGTCGGAGGAGCTGGCTATGTCGTGACCATCAGTCACACGATTCATTCTTCCAGGTAAGAGTTTTGTTTTTTTCTGGGCCGGAGAAATAGTACAGCAGGTAGGGCACGTGCCTTGCTTAGGACTCACCCGAATCAGCCCCCAGCACCTGAGCACCACCATCTTTTTTTTTTTCCATGTCTTTGTATCAAGGGTATTTTTGAAGCTTTGAACAGAATGAGAGCCAAACTCAGTAGCAAAATTAGGGCCTTAGCAGAGAACCCACTCACTGCTGAGGATGGCGGAGATTCATCTGCATGCCTGGCCATCACCAGATTGCACATCTGGTTGCAGTACTTGTACACTCAGCCATAGTGCTGCCTGACCTCACACACAGCTGGCTACGGTGCTCTGTCTCCACACTAGGACTCACACAATAGAGCTTCCAGGACCCACCCAATACAGCTGCCAGGGCTTACGCAATATAGCTGCCAGGACCCACACCACACGGCTGCCAGGACCATGCGATGTGCGTGTGGAAGGACCAGGGAGCATACGCATGGCTTCCCCTTAAAACAGAGGGGGTGCCTTTGACCCTGAGCCAGCCCAGACCCCACAGGCTGGGAGTTTGAGTTTCATTTTAGATTCCGCAGCCTTCCTCCCGATGTCTGTAAAGTGGAGATTTTTCCTCCCTCCTAAGGCTGCCATGTGCTTGAATCCACGAGTCGCTCTTAGCTCTGTTCTCGGCTGCCCTGATGTTGCTTTCAGAGAGGGAAACAGTTGTGAGATTTAGTGGAGCCGTTTGTAAAACTGCCAGCCTTAAAGCCACACGAGTGGCCCTAGGATCCGGACAGCAGTACCAAAATATATTTTCCTCGACAAAGAACATTTGTTGTTTGTTGTTTCTGCTTGCTTGTTTTCTGGTTGTGGGGGGCACATCCTGCAGAGCACAGGGGCTAAGCCCAGCTCTGTGCCTCAGGGTCACTCCAAAGACCACTCACTCGCTGGGATTGAACCCAGGCCTCCTGCAAGCCAAGCTTGTGCCTCTGCCCACTGGGCTATCTCCTTGGCCCTATTTGGTTTTGGTTTGATTTGGGGGCCACACCCGGCTCAGATCAGGACTTATTCCTGGCTCTGCACTCAGGAACTACACCTGGTGGTGCTAAGGGGACCATTTGGTGTGCTGGGGATCAAACCCAGCTCGTCCACTGTTCTATCTCTCCAAGCCCCTCATCTGGGGTTTTGTTGGTGCTGCAGTGGTGGATTGAACCCAGGATCCCACATATGCAATGCTTAAGCTCTGCCACTGAGCTAAATCCCTTTTCCTAAAGGATAATTTTTAGTGGGGAAAAAAAAAGTTCCAAGACATTAGATAATATCCTATTAGATCATAGTACAGGAGATCTCATTGGAGGTAAGCGCTTGCCTTGCATGTAGTGGACCCCGATTCAGTTCCCAGTACTATATATGGTCCCCTGAACACTGCCAAATATGACTCCCCTAAATTCCCCCTCTTATGGGGCTGGAGTTATAGCACAGCAGGTAGGGAGTTTGCCTAGCACACGGCCGACCCACATTCGATTCCCAGCATCCCATATAGTCCCCTAAGCACCGCCAGGAGTGATTCCTGAGTGCAAAGCCTGGAGTGACCCCTGAGCATCGCTGGGTGTGACCCAAAAATAAAATAAAATAAATTCCCCCTTCGAAAGTTTCACGGCATTAAATTTATTGCCTCCTATTTGTGTTAGACCCTAAAGACTAATTGGAATTGTTCTTTGTCTTGTCTTTGTACTGACTTTTGAAGAATAAAAAAAGCAGGGGGGTGGAGAGATAGTACAGTGGATGGGGTGCATGCCTTGCAGGTGGCCAACCTGAGCTCAATCCCCGGCATCCCAAGCACAGCCAGAAATGATTCCTGAGTGCTGAGTCAGGAGTAACCCCTGAGCATTGCCAGTGTGGTCCAGAAACAAACAAAAATGGATTTTGAATATATTAAATGCCAGTTTCACTGTAAATATATTTAGAGTAATTTCTATTTTCTGCTCTAGAGGTTTCAGAATTTGAGCTGCAAGCGCACACTGAATTGTTGAGTAGTCAGGCTAGTGGCTAGTGGACTTGGCGTTTTAATCCGTTCATTATTATAGAAATTGCTGTTTTTCCCTAACAACCAGGAAAAAACCTTCATTTGAGTGATACCTGTAATGATGCCTGGGAGTCGATGGAAGACAGATTGTCTTGCTTAACTCTATGCTGTTCCTTGGAGCTCATTATATATCAAATGATTGACAGTCTGCAGAATTCTAATGCCAGTTCGGCGGGAGCGAGAGTCAGGAGGCAGTCCTGAGTGGCATTTCAATGTCACGGCCTATGTCTCTGCGGAGCGCCAGGCGCCACTGCAGAGAAATGTCGATCCCTTTGTGGGTCACTGCCTCTGTTTGGCTCTGTCAGCTGCTCCCCAAGTCGAAGATTTCCCGTATAAACAAGTAAACACTCATCTCGAGCAGAACTTTTGGATGTTTTCATGAGCAGACCATCTGGTAGGCAGCCGCCTCCTCGAGGCTGAGTAGCAAGGCTTGTCATCTTCCCCAGGGATTGAGTCACTGGAGAAAAAGGATGAAAAGGTGGTTTCTGCGAGGGGAGTTCGGTCGCCTGGGTCTATGACCAGGAAAGGGACAGAATGGCTTTTCAAAGATGTGGGGCAGGGCCAGACCACAGGGGTCCTGGTTAGTCTTTGACAATCCACCTCCTTGGTCATTCTCAGAAGCCATTAGCTTTTGCTTCTGAACAGTCTTTTGTCGGAGGGTGGGGGGGAAAAAAAAACCTCAAGAAGCTGCAGTTTTGTACTTACATGCAAAAATACATATATGTGGAAATGCTTGTGATTTTGTGGATGGATGGGTGGATTTTTATTGCGTTTTTTTATGGCATCAGTCTAAATGCACCATGATAGAAATATGGAATCCTCTGTTAGAAAGACTCCTATTTGGGCTGGAGTGATAGCACAGCAGGTAAGGCATTTGCCTTGCACGCAGCCTACTGGGGTTCGATTCCCAGCATCCCATATGGTCCCCCAAGCACCACCAGGAGTAATTCCTGAGTGCATGAGCCAGGTGTAGCCCAAAAAGAAAAAGAAAGAAAGATCCCTCTTCAATTCCTTAATTGCATTATATTTGATGCTATGTGTAATTTGTAGCAGGTAAGCTTTTGTGTGTAACAAGAGGGGGAAATGATCACTTTAGCCCTGAATCTGTTCACCTGATTGAAAATGAGGCTGTGTTACTGGAATAAGCAGCTACTTTTGCTTTACGTAATATTCAGTCCTGTGGATTCGATCCATTAAACACTTTGCTTTAGCTGCTTATGGTTTTATTAAAGCTATTACTTGGGGCCAGCATATGGTTTAGTGGCAAAAAGCATGCCTCCCACTCCAGGAAGCCTGAATTCTAGCCCCACAACTGCAAAAACTAGACTGTGTAAAGCTGTGTATTTTCCACATGACATAGTTTAGAATGCAAGTCAGCCACAACTTTTGGTTTTCCACCAAAAGCAACTGTAGTTTGAATGTACGGGTTGAGCTCTACAGATCGACTTTCTTGTAGTGATTATTACCAATGAGTTTAGCCTCACAAGCCACATTTAGATTCCTCTTAAGATATAATCCCTCCCCTTTAAAAAGTAGATTTGGGGGCCAGAGCAATAGTCTAGCAGATAGGGCACTTGCCTTGCATGCAGACAACCAAGTTTCATTTCTCTGCATCTCATATGGTCCCCCAAACCCTCCAGGAGTGATCCCTGGGTACAGAGCCTAGGGTAAATCCTTAGCATCACCGTGTGTGGCCCCAAAATAAATAAAATTAAAAGTAAATTTGAAGCAGAGAGAAAATACAGGGATTAAGGTACATGCCTTGCATGTGTTGACCCCAGTTTGATCCTCAATACCTCATATGATTTCCCCCAATCACCTCTAGAAGTGACCGTTGAACAAGGAGCTAGAAGCCCCAGAGCACTATTGAGTGTAGCCTGAACCACCCCCACTGCACCCCCTGTCAAAAAATAGAACAAAATAAAATATAAGACTTGCCATTTGTTCGTACGGCTGTCTACATAATTTCCTTTCTTCCTTCCTTCGCGTTCCTCAGCTGTCAAAGAGAATTTTCAGGAGCCTGTCTCAAGTGATTATATAAGAAGCGCCTTAGAAAATCAACATTTAAAAACCAATATAAAGCACCCACTCAGGGCTTCGTGAATTTTAAGTTTTGCTGATGGTCCCTGACCTTTCCAGTGTAAAACCGGCGCGATAGGGCCTGAACTAAACTGATACTGTGAGAATTCTAGCCACTGCGTGCAAAATGCTACAGTGACAGTCACGTGCACCTCTGATGTCGTGGTGCCTTCCACGCCCCTATCATCATTGTGCCTTCATTTTGTGGCCTTGAGCAGGTCAGAGTGCAGACTCGATGGCATGCTGGTGCTTGGCGAACGCGGAAGCGTTCCTCGTTTGTGCAGGTTTTTAGAAGCAGTTTGGCTGAGAGAGCAGCCGGCTCACTTCTCCTGGCTCCTTTCTCGCTGAGTCTTGAAAATTTAGCTGAGCTTCAGGGCAATCTTTGGGGCCTGGGACTCTGCATTCTTTGGAAACTGACAATGCTGGTAGAGATAAGGACACAGGGTCAGTGACCGAGGGACTGAGTAGAAACTCCTCCTATGAAAATCCCACAGTAGTACTATATCCAGTTGTGCTTCGATTTTCTGGTCAGGTTTGATTTTTCTATGATCTTTATGAGTTGCCATGGTAACGGTGTACCTTTCTGAAAAGCAGGTAAGAAAAAGAAATTTGTGGATTCAAGATGTAAACCTGGGCAGTATGTCTGCTTTGGGCATGCTGATCAACCCCCCTTGGAGCAGCTGTCAGTCCCACCTGGGGGGTTTAGAAAAAAAATTCATTTGTCCCTAAAAATCGTGGGGTTTTGTTTCTGTTTTTGTTTTCTTTTTCATAGAGATCACGATGATATTGTAGCAAGAACCGGTTTCGTGTGCTGGTCTCTAGTACAAATCAAAGATGATCGGTTTCGTTTGAGTCTTTCAAGCCTTCTAAGCCTAATTTTTAATTTAGAGGATGGGAAGTAGAATTCTTTCCCAGCAGCTACACAGGGAACTGAATTTATTATATGAAATCCTTGGAGATCTCGAATGCTGAGCAGATCTGAGAAGCCGTGGTGAACTCTAGTGGTTGGAAGCGATGCTTGGGAGCTAGAGGCTCTGGCTTTAAATTCTTTATTTTTTTTCCTTTTCGGGTCACACCGGGCAGTGTACAGGGGTTACTTCTGGCTCATGCACTCAGGAATTACTCCTGACGGTGCTGGGGCACCATATGGGATGCTGGGAATTGAACCCAGGTGGGCTCCTTGCAAGGCAAATGCCCTACCCACTGTTTAAAATCTTTAGCTTTAAAATCTTTTTCCACTCCTTATTCACTATACGACCTGGGCCAGATACTGAAATCTGCCCACATCGCTGTTTCCTAGATCTAATAATGCCTCCTAAGACTTAATGCGAGAAATAACTGAAATTCTCTGTCCTCAAATGCCCAGCGTGCCTTTAAATGATGAGCATTCAGCACATGGAATCTCTTGCTGTTCTAATCAGGAATGTTGCTTGGACTTGTGGACAATCAAGGTCAGGTCAGACTTTTGAGTGAGACTTCAGCTGCGTGATTAGATGCCAGCAGCATGATTAGATGCCAAGCACAAATCTGCCATTTCCCCAGAGAGAGTTGAGGTTTCAGCACTAGCAATAAGGGCTGTTTGAGGTCGCGGCATCTCAGAACTCCCCCCACCCAACCCCGCGCCCCACCTTGTGCCAAGCATAGTTTTGGTACCCTGATAGAAAGTTCATTTTTGGATCATTGTTCCTTTTTCTATTATTTGTTTTGTTTTGTTTTGTTGCTTTTTGGAAATAGGGGCTGGTTAGGGAGGTCATGAAAATTAGTTTTAGTGCTGACTGTAACCAGAAGGGGGCAGCTGTCTGCTTGGCAAAAACCTGTTTCACTTCCAAGTTCTGATTTACCTAAAGATAATGAACTACAGAGACATTTTCAAGCCTTTTAAATGACCGTTTTAAGCCTGTGGTCAATGACTTTATTTTCTTTTGGAATGTACAAAGAAATCAAGTAAGTAGAAGATAGTAAGGATCAGCTCCTGAAACCTTGTGTATCGGGTCAACCCTGAAAATTTCCAGTCCCAAAAGTACAGAGGATCACAGGCCAAGTTCCAAGTCCTTACAACAAACATAGACCCTGAGAACCCAGATCTCTGCGTATACACAATGAATGCCACTCGACCATAAGAAAAGATAAAATCATGCAGTTTGCTGCTGTGTGCGTGGGTCTGGAGAGTATTGTGCTGATTCAGGTCAGGAGAGGGACAGACACAGACTGATCTCCCTCTTATTTGGGATATAAAGAAACTTAGTGAGGACATAACAAATGCCCAAAGCAACAGAAACTGAGAACTGGTCTTTAGTAGGAAGCCTATCACAGCTGGGATAGGAGGGGAATATGGGGGCAGAGAGACATCGAGATAACAGGAGAGAAGTTGGCAGAGGGTATGGTATTGAAACATTTTATGCATGACCATTATCAGTATTATAAATCACTGTCACTGTCCCTGTCCTCTCATAGTTCATCGATTTGCTCGAGCGGGCCCAGTAACATTGTGAGACTTGTTACTGTGTTTGGCATATCGAATATGTCACGGGTAGCTAATACATCATGATGCTTAAAATAATTTTTTTGTTTGGTTGGTTTTGGGGCCACCCCCAATGATGTTCAGGGGTTACTTCTGGCCCTTTACTCAGGAATTAGTCCTAGCAGTGCTCGGGGTGCTAGATGGGATGCCGGGGATCAAACCCAGGTCAACCACATGCAAGGCAAATGCCCTACTCCTATACTATTGCTCTGGCCTTTTAAAAAAAAAGTTTTGTATTTTTTAAACAAAGAGCCCAGGTTCCACAGGAGAAGTCTACCACTGTGCTATCTCTAACAGTCTCTCAGAGTGAGATTTCTCTGAAAGATGAGTTAACTCATTCTCTGTTCATGCCTGATCTTGAGTGCCTTAGAGTTCCTTGCTCTGTGGCTTCTATTTATGTGTGTGTGCGTTTGCTGGGTTAGCATCTTGCCAAGCACTTGTTAACACACTGTCTCACTTAATCCCAGTCAACACCTTATGAAATAGGTACTGTTATTGTCCCCATTTCCAGATGAGAAAGCTGAGACTAAGAACACATCCCAGCAGCCTTCTGGATGGAAACCAACAGATGCAGGATTAACCCCGGATCAATTGATTCCAGAGTTCCATCATGATGTGCAACCTCATTTCTCTTCCTTGATAAATTAGATCTTTTTGAGAGTAGCACTGTCCTCCCATTGTTCATCGATTTGCTCAAGCAGGCACCAGTAATGTCTCCATTGTGAGACTTGGTGTTGCTGTTTTTGGCATATCGAATACATCACGGATAGCTTGTCAGGCTCTGCCATGTGGGCAGGGTACTCTTGGTAGCTTGCCAGCCTCTCCAAGAGGGGCAGAGGAATTGAACCCAGGTTGGCCACATGCAAGGCAAATGCCCTGCCCGCTGTGCTATCACTCCAGCCCTTTTTGAGAGTAACATTTAAAAATGGAGAAAGCTGTGGCCTGCGATCCAGAGCTGTGTTGTTCCAGAAGGTGTGCTGTGTTGAGCAGAACCAACCTTAGAATTGGGGAAAGAAAACTAGCCTTTGAGTTGTGTGGAATCCTCAATCAGGAGGTTCACACCTATGAATCCTCATGTTCTCTGAGAATGGAAGGGAAATGAATGAGATCTCTCCTTGCGTGACGGAGATCACTCCTTGTCTTGGAGTCTTCTGTTGGAAGGAGCCATAGTAATTGCACATCCAACTTCCCACTGGTTCTGGTGCCTTCACAGTCTTGCCAAAGAATAGCCCAGCCAGTGCCTGAACACTTGAAATCAGGGCTGGCTGTAGTCCCCAGACGTGCATGTATTTCAGACAGGTCTGACTTGGGAAGATCTGTCCTCGGTCTTCAGTGTGACTCTGTCAGACTCCTGGGTTGTGTGTTAAGTCTGTTGGTTGATCGTTTACGTAGAGTGGGAAGTGTGGGAAGCACACATCATCCTGATGACAGAACATAGCTCTCCCCTTTAACTGTGCCTCTTCATCTTCATCTTTGTCACATGAAGCACCCAGCTCTCTTCCGGACACACCGTCGCTGTGATGGGGATAGACTTCACCCTCAGGTACTTCTACAAGGTCCTGATGGACTTGTTACCAGTCTGCAACCAAGATGGTGGCAACAAAATCAGGTAAGCGCATGGGCGACAGCAGTGCCCTACTAATTGCAAAATATGTAGAAACAATCTTCCCATTGAACGATGATGGCATTGGGCAAGGCCAGACATTGGTCTGTGACCTGGGTATTCAGCGAAGAAAGTTTTGTTCTTTATCTTCATTTTCCAATTTTATTATTATTATTTTGGGGGACTGTGTGTGGAGGGGAGTACACTTTGTGATGCTCAGGGCTTACTCCTGGCTCTGCACTCAGGAATCATTTCTGGTGGGCTCAGTGGACCATATGGGGTCAAACCTGGGTTGGCCTCGTGCAAGGCAAATGCCCTACCTGCTAACCTATCACTCCATCCCCTCTTTATCTTCCTTTTCCCGAGAGGTATGCTGCTCGTGATTTGAATTCAGCTCATAACAAGGAAAGTAACTGCAGAACAGAATTCTCTAATAGTTAAAAAGGTTTTCCCTGTCTGGGGTCTGAGGTAACTCCAGATGCCACCTCTAAGACCGCGTTTTTCGTGTCCACTTGGTTAGTAAAGCAAAGTCTTTGTGAGCTATTTTTCAGATGCTTAAAGTGTTCCCTTTTACATTACCTTAGAAAGAGGTTCATGGGACTAAAATCTTGGTCACTGGAATTTCAAAGTATGTATGTGAGCAAAGCAAAGGCATTCTCTTGACTGAATGCAGGTCACTTTCCAAAGTGGCTTTCTTATTTCAGTCCACGGGCTATACTGCATATCACTGCATCTCTGCCTACTGCCCCTCAGTGGAAAAAGTAGAGCCCAGGCAGGATAGGAAGAATGTGGGGTACACCCAAGCAGACCGTGACCTTGATTAGAGCAGTTCCAGCCTGAATTGTGTTTCCGGCAATTTTATTTCTGTTGGACCACTGAGTGTTGTGGTTTTCAGTCTGTTTATCATTTAAAAAAAATAAAAATAAAAAAGAAGTATATGGTTTATTTAAGTTTGCGCCTGGGCCAAAGAGATAGTACAGGAATCAAACCTTACCTTGCACGTGACCAGCCCCTGGTCAGTCCCCAGCACCACATCTGGTTCTCCAAACACTGTCAGAAGTGATCACTGAGCACAGAACCAAAGGTAAGCCCTGAGCATCACCAGGCATGACCCCAAAACCAAACAATAAATGTTGTGCCTAGTAGTATATACACTGCTTCTTTCTTGATAATCTCTTAAGCGAAAGAACCACTTTGTACTCGGTCATTCTTGCAGAAAGATATTTTTTTTTTCAGCCCACCGTTTGTGGACTGAGTAAGCACATAATGTGTGAAATATGTGGATGGTGTCCACCTCAGGTGGAACTCTCTTAAACTGTATGCTAGTGATTCACCACTTCAAGAATCAGAGGATAGGGACTGAAGTGATAGCACAGCGGGTAAGGCATTTACCTTGCATGTGGCTGACCTGGGTTCGATTCCCAGCATCCTATATGATCCCCTGAGCACTTCCAGGAGTGATTCCTGAAAGCAAAGCCAGGAGTAACCTCTGAGTATACTCGGAGATACACCACTGAGTGTCACCAGGTGTGACCCAAAAAGCAAAAAAAAAAAAAAAAAGGAATCAGAGGATAGTTTTTGGAGCCGGAGAGCTAGTAGCTAGTACAGCAGGGAGGTCACTTGCCTTACATGTGGCTGACCTGGGTTCAATCCCCAGCACCACATCTGATCCCACGGATCAGGAGTGATCCCAGAGTACAGAGCTCTGAGTAAACAGTGAGCACTTCCTGCGTGGCCCACTCATCAAAAACAAAACAATAATAATAATAAGAGAATCTGAGGTGACGAGGTGGTTTTAAGAACTGGAGCAGGAGCTAGGAGATAAGGTACTGGCTTTGCCTGTGAAGAACATTGCTGTTTCAGTTCCCAGTGCCCCAGGTATGCCCAGGGGTCACTCCTGAGCACGAAGCTAGGAATAGCCCTGGAGCAGTCAGGGTGGACCTCACCCCACCCCACTTCCAAAACATGAGTGCCAGCGTGGGATGGAGAAGAGACCACTAAGTAAATGATGGTTGGAGAGCTCTCTTGGGATGGTAGATGCATCCAAAAGTAGACTCTGGACCAAACATGATGGCCGCTTAGTACCTGTATTGCTAACCATAATACCCAAAGGGAGATAGAGAGTAAGAAAGAATGTGCCTGCCACAGAGGCAGTGGGTGGCAAAGGGTGGGGGTGGTGGGAGGGACACTGGGAACATTGGTGGTGGAGAATGGGCACTGGTGGAGGGATGGGTACTCGAACATTGTTTGATTGAAACGTAATCACAAAAGTTTGTAAGTCTGTAACTGTACCTCACGGTGATTCGTTAAAATAAAAAAAATGGGGGGGCTGGAGCAATAGTACAGCAAGTAGGGCGTTTGCCTTGCACACGGCCGACCGGGTTCGATTCCCATTATCCCATATGGTCCCCCGGAGCACCACCAGGAGTAGTTCTGAGTGCGAAGCCAGGAGTAACCCCTGTGCATTGCCGGATGTGACCCAAAAAGCAATAAAATAAGTAACTAAAATTAAAAAATTAAAAAACTAAATGCCATGGTACTGTGAAAACACAAACTATCAAAAATGTGTACAATTAAGTTAAAATCTATAAAAACTTAAAAAACAAAACAAAAACACAGGACCACGTGCTTTGCTTGCAGAGCCCCAGGCTCAATCCCTGGGTCCCCGGAACAGCACAGGGCAGGCCCCACTAATGAAATAAATCAATCAGGCAGCTGAGAAGCACCCGCCTGCCACAGCCCTCCTTGGCATGTCAGCAGTGGCGCAGAGCAGCTGAGGGGAAGGCAGGGGTGCGGGGAGCAGCGGGTGCTCTGTGGCAGGGCCACCGTCTGAGGGAAGGCTGCTGTTCCTTGCAGGTGCTTCATCATGGAAGACAGAGGCTACCTGGTGGCGCACCCCACCCTCATCGACCCCAAAGGTCATGCACCCGTGGAGCAACAGCACATCACCCACAAGGTACAGCGGCGGCCCAAGGCTCGCTACCCCCCACCCCAACCTGCCCAGTCCCTGAGTAACGCAGTTGTGTCCCCGCTCTCTTCGGCCTTGTCAGGAGCCCCTGGTCGCCAACGACATCCTGAACCACCCCAACTTTGTCAAGAAGAATCTGTGCAACAGCTTCAGCGACCGAACGGTGCAGAGATTCTACAAATTCAACACCAGCCTGGTGGTAGGTGGGGGCCTGCCCACCACCCCTCTCCCCTTCCTATTCTCCCCACTATTGCCCGTTCAGCAAGGCACCGGTAGTTGGATTGCTTCTTCCGGTTCTTTCACGACTTGGGGATTCGAGAAGGAGCAGGGCAAACACACACACACACACACACACACACACACACACACACACACACACTGGTGCAACACTCCTGCTTGCCGGGGCAAGGCCAGGAAGTGCAAAGTGGAGAACGGGAATGGTCTCTGCCTCACACCTGGTGTTTGGGTTTGGGTGCTGTTTGTTTGAAAACAGACCTGGGCTGGAGAGAGAGCGCAGTAGAGAAGGCACTTGTCATGCATGCGGCTGACCTGGGTTCGATTCCCCAGCACCCCATCTGGTCCCCTGAGCACAGAGGGAGGAGTAAGCCCTGAGCACCGCTGGGTGCAGCCTCCCCAAACTTAACTAATAAAATAGGCATCTCAGCCCTTTGAAAGAACTGTGTTACTCTGAATGTGGCAACCCGTGGACAGATCATCCTGTCTTCCACAGGTCACTCAGTGGCCTTCTCGTCCATGGGTGGCACCCTCCTCGCTAGCAGGCATTCTTGTCTAGCTCCGCCTACCTCCCAGATCCTAGCTTCTGGCTTAGAAAGTGGCATGCTCAGGCCTGGAAATGGGTCAGGGCCTGCCCGATGTTCTTTTTCGTCTGTCGTTTGTCAGTCCCCGGCTTGGGCAGTGGCAGAGCCACTCTGCAAAAAGGGACTCACTGCAAAGTAACATTTGAAAAGAAGCATTGAAAAGTCTTGCTGTCGTGAAGCGAATGGTTAAGCATTCATTTGAGAGGCTAGAGAGACAGCACAGCCTTGCATGTGGCCAACCTGTGTTCCATCCCTGACATCCCATACGGTCCCCCAAGCACTGCCAGGAGTAATTCCTGCCTGAGGGCAGAGCCAGGAGTCACTGGAGCGATAGCACAGCGGTAGGGCGTTTGCCTTGCACGCAGCCAGCATGGCCGATTCGAGTTCGATTCCTCCGCTCCTCTCAGAGAGCCCGGCAAGCTACCGAAAGTATCTTGCCCGCACGGCAGAGCCCGGCAAGCTCCCCGTGACATATTTGATATGCCAGACACAGTAACAACAAAATCTCCAATGGAGACGTTACTGGGCCTGCTCGAGCAAATCGATGAACAATGGGAGGGCCTTTACCTTTACCTTTACCAATAAAAAATGTCAGGACCAGAGTGATAGTGTCACAGTTAGGGCACTTGCCTTGCATACAACCAACACAGGTTTCATCCCAGCACCCCAGATGGTCCCCACAGCCCTGCCAGGAATGTTCCCTGAGAGACGAGCCAGGAACAATCCTAATGTTAGCCAGGTTCAACCCAAAAACAAACAGCTATACCTGAAAGCAGTATGTCATTGTTTCTTGCAATTATTTGCATTTTAAAGTCTGTTCTTATGTATTAAAAAGGAGACTGTGAAATCAGCAATAAAAATTGTATGCATGATAAAAAGAACACTATCTGAGGGGCTGGAGCGGTAGGATAGTGGGTAGGGCGTTTGCCTTGCTTGCGGCCAACCTGGGTTCGATTCCTGGCCTCCCTGTGGTCCCCCGAGCACTGCCAGGACAAACTCCTGAGTGCAGAGCCATGAGTAACCCCTGAGCATCCCTGGGTGTGACCCAAAAAACAAACAAACAAAAAAATCAGTACCTGCACAACTGTGAGCTGAGAATCAGCCTGGACTGATGGACAATGAGCCCTTTTCAGATGTTTACTGGCAACTGTGTTCTTCAACTTCAATCATCGCTAAGACAGTCGGTCGTGATTTTCAGCCACTGTTCGTGTTCCCCGCAGTCAGGCTGAGTCTTTGCTTGCTCTGTCTTTTCTGACGGGGGATTTGTCACATCCAACTGCAGGGAGATTTGACGAACCTGGTCCACGGCAGCCACTGTTCCAAGTACAGACTGGCGAGGATCCCAGGCACCAACGCGTTCGTGGGCATCGTCAATGAAACGTGTGACTCTCTTGCCTTCTGCGCCTGCAGCATGGTGGACCGGCTTTGTCTTAACTGCCACCGGTAAACAGGGTCTTACTCTCCGTGTGCCTGGCTGACTAGTCTGTAGGGGCACCTACAGACTAAAACCAAGGGTAAGGGCGGGGGGAGGGAGGGTGGCAGCTGGAGAAGGGGGATGCCCCTTGCAGACCCTCTGGCTTGTGCTATCTGCGGTGACTCTGTCCCCCACCAGTAAGATCTTTGGCCGCAACTATTTCCTATTTTTGTTGTCCCTTTTGGCCAGTCTTCTTTTATTTTGCTTTCCCTGGTGCCTGTACAGCACAGAGTGTGTTCTCAGCTGTCTGCATGGTAACTTCTTTTCTGATTTTCAGAATGGAGCAAAACGAATGTGAATGTCCCTGTGAGTGCCCCTTAGAGGTGAACGAGTGTACCGGCAACCTCACCAACGCGGAGAACCGGTAAGGGAGGGCTGTGTACTCGGGCCAGAGAGAGGACAATTAACTTGTATGTGATTGGCCATGGTTCAATCCCCGGCATCCCATATGGTTCACTGAGCACCACCAGGAGTGATTCCTGAGTGCAGAGCCAGGAGTAAGCCCTGAACATCGCCAGGTGTGGCCTAAAAAAACAAACAAACAAAAAAAAACGGAAAGAGAAATGTTTGTGTGGTGGGCCCAGCTTGAGAGTACAGGGATTAAGGTGCTTCCCTTGCAGGCAGCTGACTCTGGTCCAATCCCCAGCACTGATTATTGCCACAAGCATCACCACCAGGGGTGGTCCTGAGGACAGGAGTAAACCCTGAGCACTATTGGAAAGAGCTTCCAAAATATCTCCTCAACAAGAGAAAAGTTCATAGGATTCATCTATGAACTTTTTATGGATAACAACACACATTTCCTACACGGGGCCTCCTGATTATAGGTTCATCTGTGACTGTGTGTCAGAGATGATTTATCCTTCAGCAGAAAAACATCAGTGCAAGGAGCCAAATTAATAGTACAGCAGGCTGGGCATTTGCCTTGCACAAGGCCGACTGGGTTCGATCCCCAGCATCACATCCGGTCCGCCCTGAGCACCGCCAGTAGTAATTCCTGAATGCAGAACCAGGAGTAACCCCATGAGCATCACCAGGTATGACTTTTAAAGAAAAGAAAAAACTATTTTGAGCTAGATTTCAAGGTCCATAGTGGCTTGTGCCACGTCTCCTTTCAGAGAGAATGCTGAGAAATCCTCAGAGAATAGGTGTGCGGCCAGAGAGACGGTCCACAGGGTGAGGCACTTGCCTTGCACGTGGTCCACCTCTGGGCCCTGTGGTGACCCTCTTACATAACCAGGAAGGCTCACGACCCAGGATCCACATCCTTGGGCACTAGCCCTGAGCTGCCTGTTGGCTCAGTGGCCATATATCCACATGTGAGGGGGTCCCGGCTTGGGAGACCCTCGAAAATAAAGAAAACATTAAGGAAGGGGGCTAGAATGATAGCACAGCGGGTAAGGCGTTTGCCTTGCACTCGGCCAACCCAGGTTCGATTCCAAGCATCCTATGTGGTCCCCCCAAGCACCTCCAGGAGTAATTCCTGAGTGCATGAGCCAGAAGTAACCTCTGTGCATCACTGGGTGTGACCCAAAAAAGCAAATTAAAAAACATTAAGGAAGAGCATATGGACAGGGTGCCAAAAAAAATCGATCCAAGAGCTTATATTTGTGAGGTCTCTTTCAGTAGTTGTGCTTGGAGTTCACTGATATTCAGGTGAAGCCTGGGATTAATGTAACAGGCAGTGGGCCTCTCTCACACGTACTCACATCACAGGTGTTCAGGTGAAGCCCGTGATAAGGCAGTGGGCCCTCTCTCACACATGCTCACACCACAGGCACCATCAACGAGTGACAGATTTGAAGGGCCGGGTGCTAAGTCCTGTCTCTGAAACTGCTGGGGCCAGAGCACTGCCTTGCTTGCAGCCGACCCAGATTCAATCCGGCTTCTCATCTGAGCATCACCAGGAATAATTCCTGAGTATAGAGCCAGGGGTGACTCCTGAGCACTGCTGGGGGTGATGCACCCCATCCTAAACAAAATAAAAGGAGAGAGACTGTTTGGTCGATGTTCATACTAGCTTGTGTTGGCTTAGGCAGAGGGGAAAATGCCTTTGAGTTGTCCCATCCAAGGCTCGTTCTCGTATGTAGTATATAAAGGAATGCAGTGTTGGAGTAACATGGACCAGAGGTAACAGACCCTGCAGGGATCTGCTAAGGGGGTGGGAGGGAACCTCCAGGCATTGGAGGACAGATACTGCTACGGCGGGTGGGTGGGACTGGGAGAGAGGTACTGTAGGACCATCATATGCCTGCAGCTCTATCATTAACAGTATTATAAATCAGCATCCCAATAAGAATAGGGAAAGAAAAAAATAACTCTAAAGACACTAATAAAGGCAATAAACAGACTCACTTGTGTTATGTTTGCTTGTGGGGTGTGTGCTTTTTTCACTCCGGAAAAACCCGTGTTCTCTCTTGAACACATAGTTCCTCACTTTCTTGTTTCCTCACATCTAAGTTTCAATAAAAACCATCTTGTTTTCTCTTGGTGTATATGTATGTGTATCAGTATACATGCATATGATATATGTATACATGATACAAAACATGCACTGTTTTGGTTTCAATCCTTATATCTTTATATAAAATAAACTCCCATACTTAATAATAATTTCCACTGTGCATACTTTTATAGATTTTTATAGATGAAATAATGCTTTTCACTGAACACCAGATATGTTGTTGGCACTCTTGTTTTGGAACCCTATTCTAGCTGGTAGCTTTTCTTCTTTTTCCTTTTTTAATTTTATTAAATTTTTTGACTGCTGGGGAAAAAAAACCATCTTGCTTCACACACACAAAAAAAAGACACTTTTTTTTTAAGAAAAACTTGTTAATGGCCCCTCAGGTCAGTGAGATAATGCAGAGCCCCCAAATCACCCCCAGCATTGTGTGGTTCCCCCCCTCATCATTGGCTGTGGCTGGGCTGCCCCAAAGGACTACTGGGGGAGCCACACCCCCCCAAAAAAAAACGGTGCCCCCTTCCCCTTCTGAACACCAGTATGAGTGTCCCCTGAGCTCAGAGCCTGGAGTCACTCCTGAGCACTACAGGATGTGACCCACCCCACCTACCTGTATACAATTTTTACAGCTGTTCCTGCAGAGGTAAAGTCAGGATGGGGGCAGGGGGCGGGGTGGGGGGGAGGTTGAGTCTAGCAGTAATGGGCCACATTCCTGTTTGGTGGTGGCATGCGGTTTCCTGCTTTCCCTTCTGTCCCATGGGTATAAACACAAGTGAAGGAAACCCAGGGTGCTTACGTGACGTCAGACTGGGTTTCCTGTTGAATCCCAGAGCTGGGATGAAACCCAGATCTGCCGGGGTGGAACGAGGCCAGGGGCACATGTGTGTGTGCCTTGGGAGGGCGTGTGACCTGGATTCCAACCTCCGATATGCTTGTCCCCAGAAACCCAAGCTGTGAGGTCCACCAGGAGCCAGTGACGTACACCGCCATGGACCCTGGTCTCCAGGACACACTGCCCCAGTGTATCAACAGCCGGTGCAGCCAGAGGCTGGAGAGCGGGTAAGCCAAGTCCAGGGCCCATCCACTGAGCTCCAGCATGGAGCAGTGTCCTGCTTGCAGCCTTCCTGAGCCTTGGTTCGAAACCTGTAAAAATCTATCAAGGGATGGGCTGGAGCGATAGCACAGCGGGTAGGGCGTTTGCCTTGCATGCGGCTGACCCAGGTTCGATTCCCAGCATCCCATATGGTCCCCTGAGCACTGCCAGGAGTAATTCCTGAGTGCAGAGCCAGGGGTAACCCCTGAGCATCGCTGGGTATGACTAAAAAAAATAATAAAATTAAATTAAAAAATAAATAAATAAAAGACAAATCCACCTGGAGGTTTTACAAAAGACCTGGAGGTCTTTTAAGGTGATTTTGCATGATTCCCCGGTTAATGCATTATGTGTGATTTTCTTGGTTTTTTCACTTCCATGAGAACTCAGGATTCCTCTCCTTCCCCAGTTGCTGAGGGACAGAGAACACTGTCCTATCCACCCCCAACCAAACTTTTGCGCTGCTCATGTTGTCTGGAAAAGAAATCAAACGCCACAACTTAGAGCACAATGTCCCTGGTCCTCCCTCTCCCCAACCCTGCCTCCCAGAACATTCTAGAATGTCTCGTGGTCTTTCTGTCAGGGACTGTTTTGGCGTGCTGGATTGTGAGTGGTGCATGGTGGACAGCGATGGGAAGACTCACCTGGACAAATCCTACTGTGCCCCCCAGAAGGAGTGCTTCGGTGGCGTGGTGGGAGCCAAAAGTCCTTACATCGACGACATGGGAGCGATCGGTATGTAGGGGAGTTGGGAGTACCCTGGAGAAAGGGGCTTCATAAACACGTCCCTGCCAGCCTTTATGGGCACAGCCAGCTTTCGGGGGCATTCTGCGTCTTTGCTTTTCCCCTGGAGCTTCTAGTTAAGTGATTCCTTCCCGGCCAGCCAGCCGTGCAGTGTGGGTAAGCCCTGGAATTTATTCTAACCAAGTGTGTTCTGGGCCAGGCCAGGCGTTCTCCCTGCCTGGCTCGGTTGCAGAGTTTGCCCCAGTGGTGTGACCCCCACACCACAGCTTCCCACTGGGACTTGTGCCAAGCAGGGAGGGAGGGTTCCGAAGTCAGAGTCATCGTTCAGGGTTGAGACTCACAAGAAGCCACAGTTGCCCCAAGCCAGAGCATAGAGGGGACAGAGGACCACCGGGGAGCAGCTCTCGGGGATCAAGCCAACAGGCTCGCCAAGCTGCCTCCCGCCTCCCCTAGCAAGTTCCCCATCTCTCTGGGTCAGCTGAAGCCCCTGAGCTAGCAGGTCACAGGCACAAACCTGCTTTTATGGCTGAAACTAAACACAGCCCCATGCATGAGGCTGCCATAGAAGGAACGACGGTTCTGAGCTCACATCTGGCTCCTGAATCCTGCTAGGTCATAGCCAGAGCATGACAGAAAGTCCCTCTGGGTGTTCACCTGCAGCTTCTGGTTGGAGCAGAGTGCAGGGCTTAAAGGGACCCCCTACCCACCCAGAACCAGAGCAATGGTACAGCAAGTAGGGCCTTTGCCTCATATGCAGTCAAGCTGGGTTTGAGTCCGGGCATCTCATGCACCCCACACAGAGACAGGAGTGATCCCTGAGCACAGAGCCAGGAGTGAGCCCTGAGCTTTTTTATTTTATTAATTTTTAAATTTTTTAAGCGTAGGAGTACTACTATTTATTCAGACACTGATTAAGCTGACTGAATTGGACATGAACTCCACACTACTTTTTTTTAAATTATTTTAATTGAATATCCGTGAGATAGACCATTACAAAGCTGTTCAGAATTGGGTTTCAGTCATACAATGATCCAGGATGGCCCTCTCTCAGTGTACATTTCCCATCACCATTGTCCCCTGTTTCCCTCCCACCATCCCCCAAAACCCCACACCCCACCGCCGCCTCCCTCTATGGGAGTGACCAGCTTTGCTGGTGTGACCCAAAACCGGAGCAAAAGAAAGAGAGACAGAGGGAAGGAGAGAGATAAAGGGCCCTTGCCCAGAATCAAGCAGTTGCTCAGGGGCTGGTGCACATGCCCAGTGCGCCCAAGGCCCTGAGTTCGATCCCTGGCACACATGGCCTCCGGCATTGTTGCAGGGCCAAGTATCACCAGTTGTAGCTCACCTGGGGGTGGAGTAAACAGGGCAGAATCAGAAACCCCACCTGAGAGGTCTCTGCACATTTGGTTGGTGGTTCCTATGATGCTGAGGGCCGTGCCCAGGATCTCCCCCGACTCTCACCTGCGCCGGGTGTCTTCTCTTGCATCGGCCCAGCTCTGGGCGTCGCAGCTCCCGGTGTGTCCCTCCAGCAGCCGCCCGAGACCCCTGGGGAAAGCAGAGCTCTTCCCTCTGAGCCAGCCGCAGCCCTGCCTGCTGACCCCTTGAAAGACCTGTCCACTGACCCTCTGTCTGTCTGTCTCCCCGAAGGGGATGAGGTGGTCACCTTGAACATGATCAAAAGCGCCCCTGTGGGCCCTGTGGCCGGGGGCATCATGGGCTGCATCATGGTCCTGGTCCTGGCCGTGTACGCCTACCGCCACCAGATCCACCGCCGCAGCCACCAGAGCATGTCTCCTCTCGCCGCCCAAGGTGAGCCCCGGGGACCCCCAGCCCACTCCCCAACTGCAGCCTGCAGGGGTGGCACGGAATGACGAGAGTCACTGAGCAGGGAGCACGCACAGGCCTCAGCTTCCTCCCTGCAGCCCACACGACTTCTCCAGCTCCACTAGGACCCCCAGAAAACACCTGACCCCCCCTTCCTCTCGCATCCCCACCCCCACATGCTCTCAGGCCATCGCAGCACCCCTGGGAGCTGGGATGTGGAAATGTGACCTTCCCTAGTTCTGAGGTGCCACCAAGAAAGCAGGATGAGCTCGAGACACCCCATCACTGTGGGTGGGCACCTCGCTCCGGGATGGGCCGCTGGCTCCGTGCTGAAAGGGGCATCCACAAGGGACGGGACGGGAGAACAAGGTTCTGCTCCTCTGAGAAACGCCCTGGACTCTGGGGGCACCCCCTGAGCTGCTCTCCACTGCTCACTGCCCGGGAAGTGCTGGTGCTGATGGGGGCTCTTCTCCCCAGGCCCCTCGTTTTGCTGGGGAGTCTGCTCAGCCTCCTTGTGACCCCAGTTCATCAATCATCGGTCAGCCCCGGCCCTGGACCCTCACACCCACCCCCTGCCATGTCCCTGTGCGTGATGGTCCCTTCCCAGATGCTTGAGCAAACATCCCGCCCACCCCCGGCAGCGATGCTTTTGATGAAATAGTCATGTCGCTCTCTCTCCCACGCCGGCTAGAAATGTCGGTGCGTATGTCCAACCTGGAGAACGACCGAGATGAAAGGGACGACGACAGCCACGAGGACAGAGGCATCAGTGAGTGTGCGGCCGCCCGCCGAGCGGGACGCTAATCCGCCTTCCACGTCCTCCGGGAGGGGCTAAAAAATCAAGACGCTCCAGCATGACGGAGCTGCCCCCTGACACCCCCCCCACCCCGCTCCATTCCAATCAAACTGAGGGAAGATATTTATTTTATTTTAGAAAAGGCCCCAGAAAGGTTTCCCGCCCCTCTTTTTTGGCCTTAATGAAGCGCTTCGGGGGCTGGAATGATATAGCACAGCGGGTAGGGCATGTGCCCTGCATGCGACCAACCTGGGTTCGATTCTCAGCATCCCATATGGTCCCCCTGAGCACTGCCAGGACTGGAGTAACCCCTGTGTATCACCAGGTGTGACCCCTCCCCCCCCCCAAAAAAAAGAAGAAGAAGCGCTTTGTCCTAAATCTCCTCCCCTCCTCTCCTCATTCTTTTTGGCTTGTTACTTTTTCCAGCCTGAGATTCCATGGGGCAGCCTGGGCCAGGCATTGTGTAAGCCCCTTAGTCACATCTCTCCAGTTCCAGGGGAAGAAAAACGTGTCTTTATCACAGTGGGGGGTTGGGGGTGCCTGTTGAGGTGTCCAGGTGACCCCCTGCTGCCTTTCTGTGCCCTGGAGGAGAGGGGCAGAAAGGGGTCTCTGGCATCCAGTTCGGCCATCAGTATCTCCTAATTTAATAAGCATCTTTCTGACAGACAGTACAGCAGATAAGGTGCTTGCCTTGCATGCGGCCAGTCCAGATTCAGTCCCCTGCACCATATTGGGTCCCCCAAAACCCAGCAGAGCCTGAGCGAGCCCTGAGCATAGAGCCGGGAATGAGCCCTGAGCCTTTGCCCGGCGTGGCCCCCCCAATAAATAGATAAATAAAAACAACTTCCTGTGGCCTAGGAGATAGTTCAGCAGGGAAGACGCTTGCTTGCTTAGCATGCAGTCAACCCCTGTCCCACGCCCAGAACCCCACCTGGTCCTCCAGCCCTTCTGGGTACAGCCCTAAAGGCCCCAAGCATTGCTGAGCTGGCCGGGAAGTGCCGGGCAATGCAGACCCCTAGTAGCAGTGTCCCCTCAAGGCCTTGTGCCAATCCAGCTTGGCCAAGAATCCTCGGGAGGGGTTTTCTTAGTACTGCTGGAGAGACCCAAAAATAATTCTTTTTCTTTTTTTTTAAATTTGCGGACCACACCCAACTGTGTTCAGGGCTTACCCCCGGCTCTGCACTTCATATGGGTTGGCCCGGCGGGGCCAGGTGCAGGGCAAGCCCCCTCTCCACTGTCCTAGCACTTGGACCCCCTAAACGGTTCTGAAAAACGGCAGACTGACTTTGCCCGCCCTTGCCTCCCGCAGTCAGCAACACCCGCTTCATCGCCGCCGTCATCGAACGGCACGCACACAGTCCCGAGAGGAGGCGTCGCTACTGGGGACGCTCGGGGACCGAGAGCGACCACGGTGAGTCTCCCGTCCCCACATCCCTGAGGGAGCCAGGGTCTCTCCTGTCCCCTCGTCCCTGAGGGAGCCGGAGTCTCTCTCTCATCCCTGCATCCCTTAGGGAGCCAAAATGTCTCTCCCGTCCCCACGTCCCTGAGGAAGCCGAAATGTCTCTCCTGTCCCCACGTCCCTGAGGGAGCCGGAGTCTCCTGTCTCCATATCTCTGAGAGAGCAGGAGTCTTTCCTATCCCTTCCTGCATCCCTGAGGGAGCCAGAGTCTCCCCGCCCGGCCATGCCCACACCCACCACCCACCTCATGCTCCTTCTCCCTCTGCTTCTGAGCTGAGTGTAGTGCCCACCTCGTTTCCCCAAAAGACACAGTCCAGCGAGTCTCATCCAGGGCCCTGTGTTCCCCAGGACTGCCTCAGAGCTTCCTGACAGACAGGGACCTGCATTCCCAACCCCCTCGGGTTTCTAGTAAGTTCCCATCCCTGTGCCCACCGCTGCATGTTTTGGGCAAACAGCATGTCTCTGGCTTCCCCTGTCCCCTCACTCTCCAGACTGGCCTGGCGGCACCTCCAGGGCACTGAGCCGGGAGTGTTGTCGAAAACGGTCTCAGAAGCCGGAGCGATAACTTAATGGGGAGGGCGTTTACCTTGCACGTGGCTGACATAGGTTCGATTCCCAGCATCCCATATGGTCCCCCGAGCACCGCCAGGAGTAATTCCTGAGTGCAGAGCCAGGAGTAACCCCTGAGCATCGCCAGGTGGGACCCAACAAGCAAAAAACATAAAATAAAGCGGGTCTCAAGTGCTGTAAAGATAGAAAGAGACTGAGCAGAGACAGAGCGTGGCGTGGCCATCCACACTCCAGGACACGGGTGGCCACTGTCTCCGCCTCTCAGTGCCTGCCTGGTGCTTCATCGCCGGCAGCGGCAGCTTGGTTCTGCCTGTGACCACCAAGTGCCCGCCGGAGGGCTAGGATTTTCCCCACCATGCCAGACCTCCTCATTTCCCAGCTATCACCAGAACTGTGGCCCCCAACCCCTGGCTTCTGGGTCTAAGAGCATCTCTGAACACTGGGGGCCGGGCGACTGTGCTCTGGGGGATGGTCTCAGCCTGGGGGCCGGGCGACTGTGCTCTGGGGGATGGTCTCAGCCTGGGTTTTCACTCCTGTGCTGAAGCACCCGCTGGTCCTCTCCAGACAACGCCCACCCTTAACGTTCCTTTGGAAACCGCAGGAGTAGGGCTGGAGCGATAGCACAGCGGGAAGGGCATTTGCCTTGCACGCGGCCAGCCCAGGTTCAATCTCCAGCATCCCATATGGTCCCACGAGCACTACCAGGAGTAATTCTTGAGTGCAGAGCCAGGAGTAAGCCCTTTGCATCACCAGGTGTGACCCAAAAAGCCAAAAAGAAAAAAAATGGAAACCTTCGGGGTGGGGAGCGGGGAGGGGTGCTTATTTGCAGGGCTCGGAGGTCATGCATTGGGGCTTTGAATGCCATTGTTCCCTCCAGCGAAATAAAACTGGTTTTCTAGGAGCGTCACAGTGGAACAGTGGAACTTCAATTTTTTCATGACTCTGACTTTCTGCATTTTTTTTTCCTCCCTTAAAGCTCTTTTGAAGCTGCATCGATTCCTTGTGCCAGGCCGTTCAGTGCCTCTTTCTCTCTCTTTTATTTTTTTGTTTTGAATAATAAAGCAGGCCTGGGCTCTGGTAGCCACACAGGCATCATTTCTTATTCGGCAGAAATACTGACTTCCTGCCTGTCTCGCTGGCCGAAACGGCTCCTGTGCAGAATGGCAGCTGGAAGGGGTGGGCTTCCGTCTCCCGAGGATGCCCCCCCCCCCCCGTGGTCTTAGGAAAACAGCGCAAGAGTCTCCCACTTGGCTAAAACGTGAGGGGTGCAGCGTCTGAGTCTGGAAGCCAGGGACTCGGGCTGAGGGCTTGCTTGCCTTCACTGCACACCGTAATTGGATCCCGGTTCTCCCCAAGGAGTGAAAAATAGTTTCGCATGCAGACAGAAGTGCAGTGCCAGAGAAGGGGAAGCCGTTGGCAGTTCCTCGTGATTCCTAAAGCACCGCCAAATCGATGGGCTTTATTTAAACAGCGGGCGATGGGCTTTATTTAAACAGCAGGCGGTCAGTGACCTGCCCCTGTGGGGTGGGAGGGTGCCAGGTGGGGGTTTTGGGGGAGGACGTGGGGGCACTAGCCATGGTTGAGCTGAGGTTTGGTCTTGACAGCCCCTGGAGGGGCAACTGGCTCTGCACATTACAAGGCTGTCAGCCATCTCCTTGCCCCATGCTGTCCTGTGGGTGAATGTCCTGGCACTACAGAGGGAGTGAGAGAGAGGAAGACCCTGTTTCTGTTTCTGGCATCGGAGCACTTAGAAGGGTTAGGCACGTGGACTTGGTGTCCCGGGGCACTCCTTCACAGGTGGTGCACCCTCCCCAAAGCACCCCTGCTTCTCCTAATGAAAACAAAGGGCTGGTAATGGGGTTAAAGCGCAGCCCTTGCCTGGAGCCAACCCTGGTTGATTCCTGGGCCTTCATGGTCCCCCAGGTTCACCGGGGACAGCCTGGGAGAGCCCCACAGCACTGCATCCTCTGCATTTGCATTATTGAACTGGCCATGCTCAGGGCTTACTCCTAGCTCTGCACCCAGGAATCACTCTTTTCTTTCTTTCTTTCTTTCTTTCTTTCTTTTTTCTTTTTGGGTCACATCCAGCTAAGCTCAGAGGTTACTCCTGGCAGTGCTGGGGGGACCATATGGGATGCTGGGAATCGGACCCGGGTTGGCCTCATGGAAGATAAACACCCTACCCGCCGTACTATCGCTCCGGCCCCCAGGAATCACTCTTGGCAGGGCTCAGGAGACCATAAGTGATGCCGGGAATCAACCCTGAGTCTGTGGCGTGCAAGGCAAGTGCCCCACCTGCTGTTCAATTACTTTGGCTCTGAAATGCCCCCCGGACCCCTTTGTATCACATGAAAGGATTCCCCAACCCTCCCCCTCATCCCCCCCCCCACACACACACACAAAATGAGGGCAGGCCTGGACTCGGTCAGCCTCCCTGCCTCCGTGCCTTCTCTGTCCCTAAGGAATTCACAGCTTAACAGGCGAGTGAGGGGACCAGAGTGATAGTACAGCAGGTTGGGCTTGCACGCAGCTGACCTGGGTTCAATCCCTGGCATCCTGTATGGTCCCCTGAGCACTGTCAAGAGTGATTGCTGAGTGCGGAGCCAGGAGTAACCCCTGAGCATTGAGGGGTGTGGCCCGAAAAGCCAAAAAAAAAAAAAGAAGAAGAAGAAAAAGATGAATGAGAGCTCTAACACAAGACTACAAAGGAGTTTTCACCTCCTCCCTTTTCTTCCTGGGTTTTGGGGCCACAACTGGCCATGCTTTACCAGTGATCGAACTGAGGTTGACCTTAACCCCTCCCCCGCCCCATGTTATCTGAACAGCCTTGAGACAGTTTTCAAGGACCGGACTGGAACGAAGAAGAGGTGGAATGTTTTATCTGCAGATAGCTTTTATCTGCCAAGAAATCCTGGCGGACCCCAGCGGGGAGGGGGTCGGTGGTGCTGTCCAGCCAGCAGCATTGTCGCCTCTGGTTGTTTACTGGAATGTGAGGATTTGTCCCTTGAGTTTTTTGCATATGAGCAAACTCCGAAAGAATAAATCGTGCCTGAGGGGCGGGAGTTATAGTACAGCAAGTACACTGGGTCAACCCAACTTCAATTCTCGGCATCCTGTATGTTCCCCCGAGCCCACCAGGAGTGATTCCTAAGTGCAGACCCAGGAGTAACCGCATCACCGTGTGTGGCCAAAAACCAACAACAACAACATGCCTGTGTGCAAACATACGTCTGTAAGCACTCAGACCTTCATGTGTGGCTCAAAGATGCGACTTTCTAGAACAGAAATAGAATGCTACCCAGCTTCCAGCAAGCTTCCGATCTATGTTAAAGTTGTGTATCTTAGCTTCAAAGTTGTCTTTGACAAGCAGCCGCCTTTTAAAACATTTGTTTGTTTGTTGTTTGGGGACCACACCTGGCTCTGATCGTAGGGATCACTCCTGGTGGGCTCTCGGACCACACCAGTTGTCTGGTGATAAAACCCCAGTCGGCCACATGCAAGGCAAGCGCCCTGCCCGCTGTAATATCTCTGAAGGCCCCCCTAGAAATATCTTAAGACCATTTCTCAGTGGCCCTGTTGCTCGCCGCCGGTGAGAAGCAGTTTCCGCTGGTCTCTGCTTTTAATCGTTTCTGTTTTGTCCATTATTTCCCTGGAAAAGATCATGTCTTGTGTTTTGCTCCTTGAGAGTCTGTTTTGAGTTACCATCTCATTAGAAATGCTACGCAAATGGGTACCAGACAACCCTTTTTCCCGGTAAAAGGGAAAGTTCTCTGGTGGTGCAAATTCCCAAAGACTTTTAACACTCCTTGAAACCTCTCTGAAACACTGTTGCTTTTCTCCAGAACGAGTCACCTGCAGTTACCCTCTCTGACCACCAGGGGGGAGACTGCGTCCTCAGCAGGCCCTCCCTTCCCTTACCCCCCAGGTTCCTAAGGGAACAACCAGCGGATAAATCTATGAGCAGGATGTCTAAAAGCTGAATCTTGCTTCTTCGTGGACTCCTGGCCTCCCTCCCGACGCCTCTTTGTCCCTCCAGGTTGCCTTTGCGGATATTTTTCTGCATACACCTTTGACTAGGGAAGAAATGGTGCCTTTGAAAGTGTTTGTAAATATCCGTTGTTTGAAATGGTGCTTCCTGGCCGGTGACTCAGCACGGATCCCAGGAGCCCGTCTCCTGCGTGGGGAACCACGAACAGAATCCCGAGTAAACATTCAATTAATTCCTTAAGTGGCAGCTGGTATTTGGCTTTCTCCTGCCTCTCAGCAGCTGTCTCGGCCCGCTCTTCCAGATTTCAGCTCAGCCTTGAGATAGAAAAGGCTTTGGCCGGGGGCCTCATCCAGGAAACTCAGTAGCAGGTGAAATGGGGGGCAGATACCCCTCTGAGTTCCTTGGTGTGGTCCCAGAGCCTGTGGCCAGACAGGTTCCGAGCACCCCTGGTTTCCGGTTCAAACCACTGGCAGGGCCCGGTGGACCCTAGGACATCTGACTCATTCGATGAAACGGAGCCCCGGGATCTGAACATCACAGGCGCCTCAGGGGCTGGGGAGTGGAGCAGGTTGGCCTGTGTTGTATGAGACCGTGTTGAATTCAAAGCTAAATAAATCCCCCTCTCTAACTCGTTAGCGCCAGTGCTTACCCAGGGCTCACACTTGAGTGTGGCTTAATTAACACAAATTGTAGCACAGGCATCAACAAGAAAACTAAAAATGTTAATAACGGATGGTCCTCGGTCTTTGAGAGATGGTAAAGTTGGGCGGGGGAGGGAGAGAGAGAGACAGAGACAGAGACAGAGAGAGAGAGAGAGAGAGAGAGAGAGAGAGAGGAAAAGACAGAAAGAAAGATGGCCTGGGTGCCCTTAAAGTCTCGGGACACCAGGGGCCACAGTAGGTAAGGCATTTGCCTCTCACACAGCCAACCTAGGTTCGATTCCCCAGCTCCCCATGTGGTCCCTTCAGCCCCACCAGGAGTGATCCCTGAGCACAGAGCCGAGAGTAAGCCCTGAACATTGCCGGGTGTGACCTAAAAACTAAAGTCTCTAGGACACCAGACCCTTGAGGGAACAGTTTTGGGGAAGGGGTTCAAGGCTTCAAATTCCAGCTGAAGCTCAAGCATGATGTTGGGGAGTCGGAGGGGAGGGCCGACCCCCTCCTGGCCAAGAGTGATGGGAGTCACCAGGGGTGTTGTGCTATACTCGTGAGTCGCTCCTGCTGGTGCTCATGGCCCACGTAGGGAACCAGGGATTGAAGCTGGGCCTGTCGCCTGCCAAGCATGTCCTCAGCTGTGTCAAACACTCTCTGCCCTGGGGACTTCTCAGAATCTGGCATCTTCATTTCCGCACTCAGGCACAGGCGTTTCCTGCGTCCCTGCTACCCTCCCTCACCACGTGGCCCAGAGTGGGTGGGGCTTCCATGTCCAAGTGCGGGGGCCCTGTTCAGCCCTTAGTCACATCCCACTAGCAAACTCCCACTCATCACTGGCGCCCACCTGAAATGCTCAGGGAAACGCCCTCGTTCCTGCCGTCCCCTTATGTCTTTCCGCTGGTCTGAATCTCAGTTGTCCCTCTGTGGTGACACTTCCCAGGAGCTGCGTGGGACTCAGCCTCACTTCAGGAATCTGTTTCATGCTGGGTTTGTAAAATCCTTCTGGAAAAGTGACATCTCCAATCCCGCACACAGGTGCCCCTCCAGCCCATACTGGTCTGCCATACGTGGATAATTGACTTGGGCTGTGCTTACACTAGTTTGGGGTTTTTGTTGTTGTTTGGTTGGTTTTATACCATACCCAGTGTGTTCTCAGGGATCACTCTTGGCAGGGCTCAGGGCTCACTCCTGGCTCTGTGCTCAGGGATCATTCTTGGCGGGGCTCAGGGCTCACTCCTGGCTCTGTGCTCAGGCATCACTCTTGGCCGGGCTAAGGGGACCAAACAGGAGGCCGGAGATTAAACCTCACTTGACTGCCTGTAAGGTAAGCGCCCGGCCCACTGGACCATCTCTCTGGTCCTTTTTCATTTCCTCAGGCCCCAATGTTTTTGCAGGCGTCTGCACCAATGCTCCCACTCCCATTTGAGGGGAGGGCTCCAAGGTAGCCGTGCTGGGTTGGACTAGCGTAAACAATTCTCACTGGAGATCTGCTTCCTTGAGAACGCAAAGCCGCCTTTAGTGTTTGCTCAGAGCTGTGTTTTCTCAACCACAGACCGTTCCTGCTTGGCAGGTCTGCGTGCTCGGCAGGTCTTCTTGCTCGTCAGCTCTGAGGCTCCACGCGACTCCCACCACACACTCGGGCAGAGCCACAGCTCACTGTTGTTGAGGCAGAAACATTAAGGGGTTAGGGGCTGGAGCAATAGCACAGCGGGTAGAGCATTTGCCGGGTTCGATTCCCAGTATCCCATATGGTCCCCTGAGCACCCCCAGGAATAATTCCTGAGTGCAGAGCCAGGAGTAATCCCTGTGCATCGCCGGCTGTGACCCAAAAGAAAAAAAAAATTAAGGGGTTGTCACTCCTGGGAAGTGCAGAGGGGGTTTCTGCAATATTTAAGGGTTTTTGTTTGTTTGGAGACCACCGCTGGCAACGCTGCTCAGGGCTCTCTCCTGGGTCTGCGCTCAGTACCACTCCTGGTGGGCTTGGGGTCCATATGGAGTGCTGGGGATCAAACTCCAGTTGGCTGTGTGCAAGGCCAGTGCCCTACCCGCTGTACCCACTTCGACTTAATGTCTGAAATATTCAACAACCTGCCAGGGTTCTTGGTAAGGCATTCTTTTGTCGGCGAGGGCATTTTCTTCCCAGTACCATATGGATCCCCAGAGCACTGCCAGGGATCACTCCTGAGCACTGCGAGGGGTAGCCCCAAAACATAAATCCATTTTGGAGCTGGGTTAGTACAAGAGTGAAGGTATGACATTGGCTTGATCCCCCGCACTCTGTATGGTTCTCTGAGCACCACCGGGAGTCACCCCTGAGCACAGAGTCGGGAGTCAGCCCAGAGTCAGCCCTGAAAACCCTAAATAAATAACAGCAGTAGTAGTTTGATCTATCGCGCAAAGTGTGGCTGACCCACCATCTGTGGATTAGTGGGTTGGGGCTGAGGTTTGGGGGGGTCTCAAAGGGCTGGGATGAAAGCAAGGGTACTTGCATCTGTTTTTCTTCTCTGCACCGTCTCGAAAATGTTTATCTACATAAAACGTTTGATGTAGGAGCGATAGTACAGCGAGTAGCGTATTTGCCTTGCATGCGGCCCACCCAGGTTGGATCCCGGGCATCCCATATGGTCCCCCCAGCACCCCCAGGAGTAATTCCTGAGTATCGCTGGGTGTGATTTCCCCCCCCCAAAAAAAAAAAAGTTGATGTAGCTGTTGTGAAGAGTCCACCCACGAGCTCTTCATGCACCAGCCACTGGCTGGCCATCCGCAGGAGAGAAGGACCTCCCAGTGTCCCACCCCCAAAATCCCAGGGCCTGTGGCGGGGGGGGGGGGCGTGGAGCATCGCTGAGCCGCCCCCTCTTCCTCCTGGCAGGCTACAGCACCATGAGCCCACAGGAGGACAGCGAGAACGCGCCCTGCAACAACGACCCCTTGTCGGCGGGGGTGGACGTGGGCAACCACGAGGAGGACTTGGACCTGGACACCCCGCCGCAGACGGCCGCCCTGCTCAGCCACAAGTACCACCACTACCGCCTGCATCACCCCACGCTGCACCACAGCCATCACCTGCAGGCCGCTGTGACGGTGCACACGGTGGACGCGGAGTGTTAGCGCCCCCAGCGGGCGCCGGGAGCATCGTCCCGCCACGGCCGCTAACGGGTCCAGAGCCCAGAGAGAGAGACTCGCTTCCCTCGGGGCCCAGGTTCTGAGCCCAGAGAGGCCACCATCCCCCCTGACACCCCGCACGGAGGGGCACCACAGACAGACGCTGCTGCAGGAGACAGCGGCTCAGCCCAGCTGCTGCGCCCCCGGAGCGCTCCAAGCAGGGGAAGCACCAGCCCCCTCACCCCATCCCCACACACACACAGCGTCCCGTCCCCCCCCCCATCCCAGAAACCTGCCCTCCCAGGCCTGGAGGTTGGTGCATGCCCCTTGCAGCATCCCTGCACCCCACGTGCTGTTTGGAACTCGTGTTAAGCTCGAAATGACGCATTTCGAAATTTCTAAGTAAAGGATTATTTTTCTACTATTTATTGAACTTTCACTCGCAAGACTTCGGGAGGGGGGGGAAGCTGCACCCAGTGACCGCTCCCCCATCTCCCCGTACCCCTGCAGGGACCCTGCGTGGTTCCGAGTGTGACGATGTGAAGATTAACCTGTGTCCCCCAGCCACCCACCCACCCCACCCACCCGTCTCACCCCCGGCCTGCCCCACACCGCGGGGACCACACCACGCGTGAAGAACGCTCACTCCGCTCCAACTTAACCGTTTTGAGTCCATTTTCTCCAGAGTATCATTTCCCGCAAACGTCGTTTTGGCTAATGAAGTATTTTTTTGTGTGTGTTCCGCAGAGGTGGGGAAGGGCCAAGAAGCCCAAGTGTTTTGTTGTGATTTTAATTTTTTGTTTGTTTGTTTGTTTAAAGGAACGTCTGTTTCTTTTAAAATCTCATTCCCACTCGCCCTCCAACTCTTTGCTTGGGTTTCTACGAAACCTAATATTGTAAACCCCCTTCCCTTCGCCATCACCCCCAGCCTTCCAGCTCAGGGAGACTGGGGCTCATTCTCCTGGCATTAGAGACTTCTAAAGGGTCAGATGGCCCCTGTTGATTCTGAGAATGTTGACCACGACCGGGAAGTTTTTTAAAATTCAAAACTTGGATTCTTAAAGATTTCTTTTGAAATCGTAGCTGAAAGCTGCTGCCGTTTATCCCAGAAGTCCTTGACACCCGCTGCTTTATGACGATGTGCAGAGGGGAATGGAATCCGTGCTGTGGGCATTGTAATTTTAAAGTAGTGTTTTCATTACAGTGATGTATCCTAGATTCACACCTTGTGATTCAAATATGTTATAAAGACCTTCTTGCACCGTGTGTGTGGTAAATCGCTGTTTATATGTAGTCGGGGGGGAAAGTCACTGAATAATATTTTAATGGTAGGGTGTTACCATATCATGTAAAAACAATTGGTTTCTCAGCAGTACAGGAAATCAGCTGTGTGCTATCAGAAACCCCTTCCTACTATGTATAAAATTTCAGTCTAGTGAAATAAACTATGAACAGACAGATTTAGCGGTCACAGTGATTTATTAATATCCCCTCTCGACCCCAAGGCGAATTGCATTCATCTTGTAATCACTAAGCTGAAAACTAACCTTCCTTTCCATTCCTCAGTGATGAGCACAGGAAAGAGCTCGGGGAATACGGCCTATGCCTCACAAGCTCAGGGTCCTGCGTCCCCTCCCCAGCACTGCATGACCCCCAGCTCAGGTGTGGTCCTTATATTAAAAAAAAAATAATCAAGATGTGAGGCCAGTGAGGTAGAACAGAGTTTAAGGTGCATGTGCCAACTTCAGCTACATCCCTGGCACCAGGCGGTCCCCTGAGCATTGCTGGATGCCACTCCACAGGAAGGCGCCCACAGGATGGAGGGCCTGGGTCATCCCTAGCACCGCATCCTTCGGCCCTCGCATGGTATCGGCCTCCTGAGCACTGCTGGAAAGAGTAGCAACCTGGACCAGCATCAACTTCAGGGCCTTCTTCACGCACAAGTCAAGGTAAGACAAGAACGTTTAAGAAAACATCTCTTGGGGGCTGGAGTGATTACAAAGGAGGGTAGGGCATTTGTCTTGCGCTCAGTCGACCCGGGTTCGATTCCCAGAATCCCATATGGTCCCCTGAGCACCGCCAGGAGTAATTCCTGAGTATAGAGCCAGGAGTAACCCCTCTGCATCACCGGGTGTGACCCAAAAAGCAAAATAAAAGAAAAAAAGAGAAAACATCTCTTAAAATGTATGGGATGTGGGGCTGGAGAGACAGTACAGCAGATAAAGTTCTTGTCTGGCATGCAGCCAGCCATCCCAGGCACCGCTGGTGATCCCCAGATTCCTGCAGGAGTGATCCCTAAGCACTGCAGGGTATGGGTCAATGACTAAAGGATTCTTCTCCACAGCTGCCTCACATCGGCCTGGAGGGTTGGGGCTCCTTCTAAGTCCGAAAGCCAGAGAATTTGGGTGTTCTCGAGAACAGACTCACAGAACCTGGGCCTAAATAATCAGAGATTGAGGCAGGCGCGATAGATAGTCCAGCAGGTAGGGCACTTGCTTTATACACAGTCAATGTTGTCCCCTGAGCCAGGAGTAAGCCCTGAGCACTGCCAGGTGTGGCCCCCAAACAGTCAGTTATGGAGGCTCCTCGGAGGACTTCTACTCACAGCAGAACCTCGCTTTGGGCCTTGGAGGGTCGGTCACTTCTAGACTTGAGGGTAAACTCACTGTGCCTGGGTCAGGTCACTGCACTCCACAGCCCCAGAGAACAGGCCGTCCTAGTTAGGGGAGTTTTTAGAGTTGTTTATTGAGTGTTTTTTTTTTCTTTTGGGGGTGGTGGTGGTGGTATTTGGGCCACTTGTGGTACTCCAAGTTTGCCCCCAGCTCACTGCTCAGCAGTCACTCCCAGCAGTGCTCGAGGAACCATGTGGCTCCGGTGCTCGAACCCGTAGACACAGATTAAGCATGCGCTCTAGCCCTCTAAGCCGTCTCCTCGTCCCCGAGTCTGGAAAGCATTGATTGTCCAGGTTGCTTTTGTCTCTGTCCCCAGGCGCCCACCCAAGATAAGTTACATGGTGGGCCTCCCGGTGGACAGAGCATTTTGCAAAGCTGAGGGGCTTTTCCTGGTTCTGTGCTCCTGCCTGAGCCCTGGTGGTACCAGGGGTTTGGGTTGGCATTGATGGAATGCAAGGCCAGAGCCTTCACCCCTACACTCTCCGGGGAATAGTCTGTTTGGGATTGGGGGGGGGGGCGGAGTGAAGCGATAGCACAATGGGTGGGGCTTTGCTCTGCATGCAGCCAATCCGGTTCAATTCCCAGCATCCCGTATGGTCCCCTGAGCACCACAAGGAGTAATTCCTGAGTGCAGAGCCAGGAGTACTGAGTCTATGCATCACCGGGTGTGACTCAAAAGAAAAAGTCTGTTTAGGGGGACTTTCTCAGGGCTCCACTGTGATTCCTTCAGCCCCTGGGATGCGTAGTTGTTGAACTCAGGTCCCCCCCACCCACCCAGCCCCACCATCCCTGAGCTTTTTGATTGATTCATTTTGGAAACTTGGATTGTAACACTCGGATTTTTCCAGGCAGTTTTACTCTGCCTGTCACAGTGACTTCGATGTGGCAAGAAATGTTGAACCATCACTTGGACTCCTCCCCCCGCGGCCTTGGATCACGCTAATGACGAGGATCGTCTTGAATGTCCATCTGGTAGGATCATCAGATCCTAGCAGCCCAGTCCACTCTCTTCTGGGTCTGTTGCTAAAGAGAGGAATGGTGATTTTCCTGGCTGAAAGACAATGCAGTGTTCAGAATTTTCCCGTCTGATTCCGTTTTAAGTGACTCCAGTTGAAAGATAAATGTCTGCGGTGATGATGTATGACTGCAGGATGGTCTGTTTAATAGCTAACGTGGCTTATTAAGACACAGAGACTCACATCTGAGATTTTCCTGCCCTCTCTTGGCAATCTTGACCTGCCTCATCTCCCTTCTTCACGTCAGCATTACTTGGTCTTTTGGAAATGTGATGTGTTGTGTCTGGCCAGGGTTTGATCCCTGGCACCCATATGGTCCCCTGAGCACGGCCAGGAGTGATCCCTGAGTGCAGAGCCAGGACGAACCCCTGAGCATCGGCAGTGTGCCCCTAACAAAACCAAACCAAAAGGTACTTGGAAAAGTCAGTGAAATCCAAACTTGAGCTCCAAGACTTTACAAGACTTTATGTATTTATTTTTTTAATTTATTTTTTCAACTGAACCAACATGAGATACACAGAAAATTGTTCATGATTGGATTTCAGTCATACAATGTTCCAAAGACAGTCCCTTCACCAGTATGTCCTACCACCAATTTCCCCAGGTTCCCTCCCACCACCTCCCCAAGACTTCCTCCATGGCAGGCAGCGCTTTCTCTCTCTCTCTCTCTCTCTCTCTCTCTCTCTCTCTCTCTCTCTCTGCATTATGGTTTTCAATAAAGATACTGAAAAGCTATTTTTTTTTTTGCTTTTTGGGTCACACCCGGCGATGCTCAGGGGTTACTCCTGGCTCATGCACTCAGGAATCACTCCTGGCGGTGCTCGGGGGACCATATGGGGTGCTGGGAATCGAACCTGTATCGGCCATCTTAGCTGCGTGCAAGGCAAACGCCCTACCCGCTGTGCTATCGCTCCAGCCCCTGGAAAGCTATTATTTATATCCCTTTACTTACTTTCAACACTCAGTTCTTGTTCAGTGTGATCATTTCCAATTGGAATTGTCATAGTGGTCACTTCTCTATCCTAACTGCCCTCCTCCCACACTTGTGGCAAGCTTCCAACTGTGGACCAGTCCTCCTGGCCCTCGTTTCTATTCTCCTTAGGTATTAGTCTTATACTGTGTTTTGTGTTTTGTTTTTATTGAAACACCATGAGACGCAGTTACAAACTTTCATGATTACATATCAGTCATACAATGACCAGAGCTCCAAGATTTCAGTTCCAGGATTTTAGTTCCACAGCTCTGTGTTCTCCCTAATATGCCCTGCTTATCCTATGTCACGTGTGAGCAGGTCACTGCCTGCCCCTGCACCTTGCTCCCCCTGCTCTTCCCACTGGCTTTGGGCTTTGGAGGGTGATGGACCACTTTCAGAGCTG